GGGTCGTGCGGACCGACTAACTACAAGTCAAAATATTTTTTTGTCTATCGCAAAACGGACTTAACGGGACGAATCAACTCGCTTTGACAGTTCTAATGAGAATATTATTTAGTCATACAACAAAATGAAGTTTGAACATAATAATAATAGAATATGTATCTTATATATTTGTTAGATGAGAGATTGAAAGACGAAGTATAATGATTAAAAATTAATTATTATTTTTCATGATTCACAAAATTTAATAAATACTTATCATCTTTTTGAATAATTCTAAAATCATATTCAAGAAATCTTTATAAATTGAAAATTAAACTTCTTTGGTAATCTATAGACTATAGGTATGAAAATATCATAATTTCGATTTAATCTAATTAAATTAAAATTAGTTACATGGATTTCATATCTATTTAATTTACACGACCAAAATAAAAATATCAATTTAATTTATAAAACAGATGGGTTATTTGTGATAAATTTTCTAGAAATCTTTAGAAGCAAGTAAAATATCTTTCAATTAATGATAATTGGCTAAAATGAGCGAAATTAATGACAAAAACGTTGATTGTTATGGAATTAGTCCCAAAAATATATGAACAAATTTATTATATGTAATTAATGTATAATATTGTTTGGAATATGCTTTTATTATTAGTTACCATAAGTACAATCAGATTTTATTTGATTTCCATAAATATTTGATTTTATTTCGATTTTTTATTATTAATTCGAATTTATATTCCAAAAAAATTTCAAAGATCCGATTTCAGAATTTCGGGTTAATTTTCTGATTTTAACCCGACCCATTTTCATTTGTACTTCTCTTTTAATAGTATAGAGATCACAATATAATTCGTAACAAAATCTAGTATAGTTTCTAAAGTTGATATAAAACGTGAAATTAATACGAAAGGGTGAGAGAACATTGAGAATTCTACTCTCTTTATCAAAAAAAAAAAAGAAAAGAAAATAATTCTACTCTTTCTTTAACCAAATGAGACAAATTCTGCTGAGGTTATCCCTTTTGTCCACTACCCTACACCTCCACTCTCTGCGACCTCGTGTCATCTCGTACCTTTTTCTGTAGCTAGCTCTTCGGTCCGGTCCAGTCCAGACCAACCATCAGGTTCAGAAACAGAACTGTGGGTCCGTCCATGCCGTTGATGCAAGCCATGTGAGATTGGATCATGTTATTTTCTGCACCACAAAAACCAATTTGTTAGTAATTCAGGTTAATGAGTTGTTATTTGTTATAGCTTATGCATGCTTAATCTCAAGTATGTATTATATATCTCTAGAAAAACTTCAACAATTGTAAATAAACAAAAACATTATGATGTCTTGCTATGAGTTTTCAAGGGTCTATCAAAGAAGAGGGAACGGTGACATTGTCCAAGGGATGCATCATCTTTAAGTTCAAATTATGTTATATATGTGACAAATTTCTGTTATTCCTAAAATATGTGAAAGATCTTCTTTCCCCATATGTTGTGGAATGCACTACTACTCTGGGGTTCCTTTTTCAAGCGATGATAATCTCAGTATCCTAACTTTAAAAAACAAAATGTTTGTGGCTTTGGGACAAGTAGCAGCAACTAAAATTTGGCTTTAACTCGCACCATTGTTTTGTTGTCAAAGAAACCGATTTGAATTGAATCTTAAAGAAAAGTTAGAAGGCTTATTTTACCAAAAATAAAAAAAGAAGTTAGAAGGTTTAACAGTATCAATATTTTTTACAGGCACAAATTTTTATTTATACTTTCTCTTATTGTATTCCTTGTTTATCACATAGTAACTCTTATTTCTTTTTATTTTAATCATTTTTTTTTGTCAAACTATAACACCAATTCATTTATTTTTATTTTTATATTATTTTTCTTTATTATATTCTTTATTTATCAGACTGTAACGCCTCATTTCTTTTTATTGTATTCATCGTTTATCAAACTATAACGTCAATCCGTTAAGTCTTTAGATAGGAATCCAATATTAGGTACGACCCCTGTTCTAAAAATCCCCGCCTAGCCCCGATTACTCCCCGCTTAATCGCTAGGCCCACCCTATCCGCCTCGATTAATGACTAATCCCCTAAAAAATCAGTAACCCGATTATTCTCCGCCTAATCCGATTACTTTCCGCCTAATCTTATATACCCCGATTATTTTTTAGATTGCAAGTATAAAAAAACTTTTTATTTTTGTTATTCAATCATTTGAATGGAGAGTTTGTGATGTTTTACAATAACTTGTGTTCAAATTTTAATAAAAATCATAAATTTGTAATAAAAATCATAAATTTTTACAATATTAGATTAATATATTTTAAAAATATTAAAATAACCCTAAAACTAATCCCCGATTAATCCCCGATTTTAATCCGATTTTCCGATTAATCGCTAGGCCCATGCCGAGCGCCCGACTAGCGCCTAGCGATTTTTCAAACAAGGGGTACGACGTTAAGTAGGTTAATAGATCTCGTTAACGGAGTTAATTTTCTGTTAACATACATGTTAATTGATAACGACATCGTTTCATATAACAACAAAACGACGTCGTTTAGTCGTAACGATTGAATTAAATCCCTAAAGTCAATCTTAGATCCCTAAATCGAGCAAAATCTCTAATCCTAAATCTTCATATGATTTGAAACTCGGGATTTTATTGAGCAGTTACGACAAAACAACGTCGTTTTATGTTTAGAAGGAATACTGTTATTTTTAATTAGCGGGTCTGTTAATAGAAAATTAATCCCGTTAACATGGTCTGTTAACTCACTTAACGTCATGCCTAATATGGCCAAGTCAATGAAAGTTTGGTGTTTATTTAGAAAGTCAACATAAGTTTAATATTTATTTGGAAAGTCAACATAATTTTGATATTTATTTCGTTTCGTCGTGAGTTGAAGATTTAAATCAACGTTTTGAATAAGTTGGGGATTTTAATAACATTTTTCCCAATTTATTTTAATGTTAAAAAGGATCAATGGAAATGGTGCAAGTTGGGCACACCTTTCTCCTGCCAATATTTCAATAATGATGGATGGAGTCGCCACATTTTGCAGGTCACTCATGGACTCATGAGGTCCCTTATCATTTATGTCTTCCTTCCATTTATCACTCTTTTAAGATAGAAGTCAGAGTCACCTTAAATTCTTACTAGATTGTGTATATAATTCAAAATTTTCATTTTTTGTATATAAATATAACCAATTGAATTTTAGAAGATTTTACTTTATCTATGTGCATTATATTTTCCAAGTAGTAAAAAGTTTCTCACACATTTCACTAAATTTTATTTCGTTATCTTCTATGATTCACTCGTAGTCTCCTGATATTTACTCTTTTTTCTCCTTAGATCGTATCTATTTTCTCTGGGGAGATGTTTGTCGTAAGGTTTCTTCGACCAAGTTTTGGTGCATCTAAAATTGCTTCATAGACACCAAATCTCACATATGGACTCATTCGTATTCATAAACATAGGTTTCAGCGTGAAATTTTGCACTTTATCTTGACTATCTGAAAAATACAAAATTCTCTTTCTACATATATAATTTAACATATATTATGATTAAAATAGTATTCTTAATGTTGATTATGCAAAAATGTGACACTTACGAACTCATATAAATTATTCTAATTTTAAAATTCATTTATTGAAAAAACTCTTCAATCTACTGTTACTATTCTAATTTTCAAATATCATTCTCAGATATTATTATTACACAGTTTTATTATTCTATAAGATTATTTTAGTTTTATTTATGATGTTTAGGATAGTTTTTTGCTTTATTTCAAATCACCTTAGTTTTTTTAATCTATGTTAATTTCCTAAACACTGATTAATATATTTTTTATTTTTTTAAGTATTCATTTAAAAAAGAAACAAAGAACCAGTTTTTAATTTAGAAAACATTAATAATATAGAAAAAATATAAATTTAAATATTTCTATTATATTATAATGATAAATAATAATATGTTCTCGATCCTTCATATTTTTGAATCGGTACTCAAATTTAAAATACCTATTTTTCAGAAATGAACTTTTTATTTTAATTAACAACCTTTAAATTTGGTATTTTTAAACTCTTATTTTCTTTACTCTACTAAATAATTGTAACACTTATAAATATTTGTTGTACCACTAATATATATGATAAGTTTCTTTTTTTACTATCTCTAACTATTTTAAAATATTTACTCATTATATATTAAAATATAATTATCTATTCAAAATTTTCAAATTTTCAGTTGTCTATTGAATTTTTTCTTTTTTCATAATATTTAATTTAATTTTTTTCAAATATTGTTTTAGTTTAATGTGTGAATTAATTTTAATTTTCTAGTTTTTGGTTTTAATAAATAAAATATGTGGAGCCTACAAAAAAAAATATGATGACATGGATGATGATGTGGACATCCTAGATGGAGAGAGAACTATCTAATTATTTATACAGATTTCTATACAATTTGTTGTATAAAATCGTTTGTGTAAAGTAAAGGCTTATGTTAAATCAGAATTACCGTGATTAATTACTGTAGTCATTCTCGTAGGACTATGTTATATAATTGGTTTTCACTTTGTAATTTTGATGACACAATAACAATCTTCTTAAACTAGGTTTCAACTTTCAAGTCATGCGCACAAATACCTTCTTTTTTTTTTTTTTTGTCTACAGCTTTTAATTAAAATACCTTGTACATAAAAGATAAACATATTATTCCCTGTGTTTTTTATATGACGTTTTTGGATTTTTTATTTGTCTTTCTTAAGGTTTCTTTGCAAAGTTAAATTTATTTTAAGAGTTTTGATTATTATTGATTAAATTATCAAAAGTGAAAGTTTTTTATATAACTTTTTTAATATATTCGTGCTTTCAGGTAAAACATTATCTAAAATTTGAGATAAGGGTGTATTAAAGTAAAAGAAAATTTACAGCTAAGTAAATTAAATTAATTTACAAGAAAATTAACAACTAAAAATATTTAATTAACTGTTCAACCCTAGCTTATTTATTACCTTTAAATATCAAAAATTTCTTTTTAACAGAGAAAGTAATAAAGCAAAGCATTGAAGCAGAGAAGAGGAAAAAAAGCACTGTCTTTGATACATTACTCTCTCTCTCTCTCTCGTTGTCACATATCAGACAACTCTATAAATCGCAGCCATTCACATCCATCTTTCAAGATTCTCTCTCTCTCTGTAAAAATGGAAAAACCAGTGCTTCCACCATGGCGTTCCGACCCAATTTTCCGGCCACCGGAGACACCATTAGAGCCGATGGAGTTTCTCTCTCGCTCTTGGAGTGTTTCAGCTCACGAAGTCTCCAAAGCTCTCACTCCTTCTCAGCAAATCCTCTCTAAGAATACAATCGAAAGCACCACCGTCATTCTCGAAGAAGAACAACCCATCACCGCCGGCGAGACTGAAACGGAGGAGAACAGTTTCGTCTCCGGAAACCCTTTCTCCTTCGCTTGCTCCGAAACTTCTCAGATGGTCATGGATCGTATCTTATCTCAGTCTGTGAGTTGTTTTGTATAACGCTTCTTAAAAAAAACAGAGCATTTTCAGACAAAAAGACAATTTTTTTCTGTTCTGTTTTGTCTCCATTCTCTTAATTTCGTCAATTTGATCTTATTCGATTCAATTCCATTGAAATTTGCAAATGGGTCATCACAATTTCATGAGTTAAGCACGATTTTGGTCTAAAGATCACGTTTTTTTTTCTTTCGCAATTCTCATGAATCATAAAATTTTCAGTGGGTTCAACCAAAGTAGAATTTTTCATGCGCAATGATTTGTAATTATATATATATATATCTTCCTTAATAAAATCGATATGATTTTCATGGGCCCTATAACATAATCACAAAATAAAAAGTTTGGATTTTTCTTCAAGTCAAAAAGCTAACAATTCCACTGTTCTTTCTTTGTCTTCTTCTTAATTCTTATGATTTTGTTATTGCAGCAGGAAGTGTCGCCACGAACATCTGGTCGGCTTTCTCATAGCAGCGGTCCTCTCAATGGTTCTTTAACCGACAGTCCTCCGATTTCACCGCATGAAGTCGACGACATTAAGGTTTGGTTCTTTAATCTCTACCGGCTAATGACTTGAGATATAAGATAATCCATGTTTAATTAGTTTAGTAATTTTTCGTTTTTGGTTTCTTCGATGAAGATTCGTGGATTTTTATTTTATTATTGAAGTATTTTAATATAAAAGCAATCTTCTTTACTCGATTTGGTTTCTTGTTAGAGTGTTACCTTAATTAGATTTTTGCTTCATTTGTTTTGGTGTAACAGAATCTGATTTTGTTGTGATTTTTTTTGCTTTAATTGTTGTCTATGCAGCAATTTTGTCGATCAAACAATAACTTCAACTCTCAATTCCGTTCAACGGGAACAACTCCGGGACCTATAACGGCAACAACTACACAGTCCAAGACGGTTGGACGGTGGTTGAAAGACCGGAGGGAGAAAAAGAAGGAAGAGACTAGGGCACACAATGCTCAGATACATGCTGCTGTATCCGTTGCTGGTGTGGCAGCTGCGGTGGCTGCTATCGCGGCTGCAACCGCTGCTTCGTCGAGCTCTGGGAAAGATGAGAATATGGCTAAAACGGATATGGCTGTGGCTTCTGCTGCAACACTTGTGGCTGCTCAATGTGTGGAGGCTGCTGAAGTTATGGGAGCTGAGAGGGATCATTTAGCTTCTGTTGTTAGTTCTGCTGTTAATGTTCGATCCGCCGGAGATATCATGACATTAACTGCTGGAGCAGCTACAGGTTCTTTTCTAATTTTTAATCTGTTCTCAGTTCATTGACATTTTGGTGAGTATGAATTTGATTTGATACTTCAAAACTGATCAAGGATCTGGCACTTTTGCTAAGGTTGGGAATTTGACGACACATTTTGGTCGTCAGTGTTTTTGAAATTGATATATGTTTCTAGTGAAAACATGTTTTAGATTGAGTGCCTTTTTTTTTGTTTTGGTTCTGGTGCAGCGTTAAGAGGAGTGGCTACATTGAAGGCGAGGGCGATGAAGGAGGTGTGGAACATTGCATCAGTTATTCCAATGGATAAAGGAATCAATCCCGGAGGTTGCAGCAATGTTAATGGTAACGGTAATGGTAGCAATGTCAGCTCAAGCAGCAGTCACAGTGGCGAATTTCTAGTTGAGGATAATTTCTTGGGACATTGCAACAGAGAATGGCTTGCTCGAGGTGGCCAGCTTCTTAAACGTACCCGCAAAGGTAAAAACGCTAATCTATTAACAGTGTTTCTTGGATCATTTTTCTTAACTAATGTTATGGTTTTGGCAGGTGATCTTCATTGGAAAATAGTTTCTGTTTACATAAATAGGCTAAATCAAGTAAGATTCCTTCTTATCGTGTGTTCCGACTCCCGAGTTTCTTTGGTCTCTTTCTTGAGCAATGGTATCATTGATCTGATGAACTTTGAAGCGAGGAAAGAAAGATTAAAGTGAGATACATTATTAGCGAATCAGTGGAAACTTTTTTAAGTCACCCACATGAGTGTGATCTTGTTAAAAGAATACAAAAAAAAAATACATGAAAAAGAGATTTCAGAGACCAAGAAAAGAAGAGAAAGCAATTTTGTGAATGATGTATATCTTGTAATCTGCTTTAGTCTCTGTTTAAACCATTTCTTGGCATCACTCTTATGATTTTGATTTGGTTATTGAACATGAAGGTTATATTGAAGATGAAGAGCAGGCATGTAGGAGGGACCTTCACAAAGAAGAACAAAAGTAAGAGAAATTTTTACCCTTATTATGCATACAACTATCAAGATTCTAATCAGTTCAAAGACAAAGAATTTGTTTGATTTTCTCATAGTACTAATGTGACATAACTAAAGGTGAAAGCTTTAGGTTTGTCACTATCTACTGATACTATCAATAATATGAGAATTCAAAACTTTGATGTGGGTCTACTTTGAATTTGGGGATTTGAGAAGAAAAGAAAAAAGAAAAGCAAAAGGGTTTTGGGACTAAAGTGATCAGAGGATGAAAACAAAAGGAGACGCCATCTTTAACTTTTTTTTAAGTGTATTCTTTTGAATGTGAATATCAAGACTCTTGCACATTCTCCCTTTATATTTTATTTTCCTAATCTTTTTTTCTTATTCTAAATTACTTCAGATGTTGTGATTGATGTGATCAAAAACATTCCGGCTTGGCCAGGCCGCCATTTGCTGGAAGGAGGAGAGGATTTGAGATACTTTGGGTTAAAGACGGTTCCGCGAGGGATTGTAGAATTTGAGTGCAAGAGTGAGAGAGAGTATGAAATGTGGACACAAGGTGTCTCAAGGCTTCTTGCTGTTGCTGCCGAGAGGAATAACAGATATAGGATATGAAGGAGTAGTTTAAGAGTTAAGTTTGGGGGTAATATGTAACTTATGGGGCCAATTAACAACTTCAAGAAAGATTAGGGGGCTTTTAAGAGTAATGTCTTTTTGGTAAGGTATATGTATATTATATAGGGTGAAATGGGCCATCTATAGGGTGGCTGATTAAACAAATCTTGGTGTTTGTAATTTTGGTTTTGTAAAAAATGGTTTAGTTTCTAAGTTTATGAATATATATAAAAAAAAGTGGTAATCTGATAGGTCCATTTTCCCATATATATTGGGAACATCAAAGTATATATTGATCTTGCTTTTGTCTCATGTTTGAAATCGAACATATATCACATTCTTGTAATCATCCAGCTTAAATGTTCATACCGGCTTAGTGCTTCAACAGGAACCATTACCTCCAATAGGTATGCTCACAATAATCGCATATGGATTCACTATTGACGTCTCGTAACATCAGTAAGTCCGAAACCCACTGAATCCAATCTTCTAGAAGAAATCCAATGTATTCGATGTGGACAATTTTAGCCCTGCTAGCAAAACCCTCGAGCTTTCCCGTGACAAATCACCATCAAACCATCGAGCATGTGCAATGACGATTCGTCGTCTCACCTCTCAACGATATGCCCCAAGCCCATGAAAGTGGTTGCTACAGGGATTCTAGTAAGCTCGACAAATCTTCGTAATTCGTTGCTAGCCGTTGATGCACCCGCCTCCAACATACAACACAAGTTTCCAAAATTATAGATTCTTTCTTTTCAATATATGTCATATATACTTTTGATAGCTAAGTAACTATTTTTGTTTTTGAAAAATGTTAGATTTATATCGGCAGTGGTTTTCTTATAATACGTTTAAATTTTATTTTAATATTTATTTCTCCTTCTTTTCCTATGGTATAATATATCAATGAAAATATATAATATATCAATAAAAACAATGTTAGTTTTCCATGCCGTTTTGATTATGAATATAATATATTAATGAAAATTTATGTTCCCATCATTAGTTTATTTGAGTCAATCTAGACAAAAAAAAATCAATGAAAATTTCAAAATGCATGTGTTTGGAAACGAATAAGTATTGTTTTCATAATGACTTTTCCCTATGCCAAATAAGCTTGGGTGTGTATTTGGGCTGGCCCAATTCATTCGTAAGGTATCTATTATAAATCCACCAAAAAAAACCCTTAAAAGTTATGATAATTTTTTTTTTTTTTTTTTGATAAATTTTATTTTAACTAGCTCATAAAATTTTCATTTTTGCGTTTATGCATGAAAGTATGAAAAGACAAACTATAGAAACTGATTTTTAAAAACCAAATTGAGTAACAGGGTTAAGATTTGGTATATAGAGAACAATAATGTGCTTGGCTTAGTGTTCGTAGTTTCGTACGTATGACATGTTAGGAGAAAAGCATATATAACTTATAGAAGAAAAGGCCATGGTTACACATTATACATAGTCTTAAGACCATCATTTCCTTATCCCTTGGACGAAAATACATGTACATATATATACATACACTTTGAATTTTGTTTATGGTGAATTTAATGTATTACTTAATATGGCAAGAACAAATAGTAGAAACAGGCCCCGCTTGCATGTGAAAAAACTGACTTTGACTTGGAAGATAAATTAAAAGCTTAAGTTGTGTAAGACCAACTCGTGTGTTTCGTACGCCTGCGCTTTGGTTTATGTGCACAACTTGGAAGATCGTTTCCCATTGCATTATGTAACATATCAACACCACACGATTGCTATAAACATTTCTCCAAAAGAATATGTTTCATGCAAAAATCTGTTCCAGTTGTTATTATGGTGTACAAGATATTAGACATATGTGTACAGCTATAAGTATATTTTCTCCGTAGTTCAACCAGAAAAAAAAAACACAATAATTTTAAAGAGAATTTCCAAAATTTTGAGTTCGACATGTCTGAAAGAAAAATGGACTAATTAATCTCGTCCTGTCCCCCACTTTTGGTTCGTATAAAAAGCTCAAGAATACGTAAAACTATAGCATATATAAATATATAACACCAAAAACATAAAAATTACTAAAAAGAGCTGAAATAGTTTTCGAATAACAAATAACACGAAAATAAACATATACTAAAAGAAGAAAATCAAAAGTAAAAAACGAAGAGATTAAATTCCGATATGCAGTACGACACGAGTACATCTGCGGCTGTGTGGTAAAATTTGGAACCATAAATGTCTAGACTAACTAACTATCATGTGCGTGTTATCAAACTTCATACATACTATTATTCACTTCTTTCATTTTTTAAAACCAAAACAAAAAAACATCATACATACTATTATTCACTTCTTTCATTTTTAAAATAGTCCTGCGTTATATACATGTGTAACGGGGCAAAAAAATATAAATACAATACTTACTGGTACAATTTTTCATTTTTTATTTATTGGTATAAATAATAACTAATGGATTAAACTACAACACACGACATGTAATGGCCTAATGGCTAATGGCAAATGGGTGTCGAGGGACCAATTTAAACCTATGGGTCCAAAACACATGAGCCGACTAATAAAACTAGAGGGGTTGGTCTGAAAATAGGGGGCAAATGCACTTAATAAGGAATGATATGTGTATTGTAATTAATGATCACACATTTTTTTGATAAGATTATCTATATATGTAACTATTACTATCATATTTTTCCTTTTGTTAAAACCGCTATTTTCACAATAAAACTTTTTTAAAAAAATTGCTTCAAAGCTAACTATATATAAAGAGAAAATTAAATTGTCAATAACATACAGTACCAAATTTAAATATGGACGATGACACGTATATAATAGAACACAAATCATTATAATTCTTGGTCCAGTTCTTAAAATCTTAAAAAAGCAGCTTAGATCAGATTATTTAAAAATAATTATTAGGACTATAGTGAGAAAAACGAAACATGAGGATATTCAGCTAAACAATGGTTGCATAATGCATTGCAATCTCGTAGTCCTTTTCTAGAGACAGCTTCTTTTTGTCTTTTTAATATTAACCAGTAAAAACCAATTATTAATAAGCAAGAAAAATTTAGTCCCGAGGAAAAGAAAGACTATAAAAAAGTTCCCTAATTGTTTAAAATTAAGTTAGGTCATGAGGTTCGGTTTTTGGTTTTAGGGCATGAAGAGTTTGTTGCCACACTTGCAGCGCCAAGCTTCAGGGTAGTACTCCAATGGCGCAATTAGATCTGGTTGAACCGGAACGTGAACTGCTTTACACGGCTCACACTTCCCGCACTTCAATCTACACATCGGAGGCACCGAGCCAGGACCGCCGCCTAACCGCTTCTGATCTACTATCTGACCCGGTAAACCCGACCTAACTGTCTCCTTCTTCCCCTGCCCAAGCCCTCCACCTGGTTTAAAGACAGAGTAAATTCACTATCTAGTAAGTAAGCAAAAAATTAAAAAAAAAAAAAAAGGATTTCACTTTTTTTTTTGGTAACAAAGGGATTTTCACTTTTTCTCCTTCAATCCTTCTTTTCTTTAAGCAACAAAACATTTGGCTTAGTTGATATGCAATTTTCAGAAGTTAAGGAACTTTTGGGTTCGCATTCCACCAATAACTATACAGAAAAATATATGATGGTAGATAAAAGAGTTTAAAGAAGTGGGTTCTTACTGAGACGTTGAAGAGAGGCGGCGGAGGACAACGAGAAAAGGAGAAGGAAAGCATATACGATGAGAGTTGGCATGAAACGAAGGTGGTGCTGACGGAAGACGACGCCCATTAGCCAGGACCGGTGAGGAGTTTTTTCTTCTTTAGGTTTAAGAATTTCGGGTTAAGTGGTCCAAAGTCAAAGAGACATGTAAAAGAGAGTAATGAATGAAGAGAGACAAAGAGTGTAAGAATAATCAAACCCTCTTCTTCAATCATTATCATTCTTATATAAGAGATGAGATTTTTTTTTGGTAGGATTATATAAGAGATGAGATTAATTTAAGTTTTTTAATCTAAAATAAATATAAATGTAAATAATATATTAGAAATATTGTTAAACCTCCTAAACTTCAATATTAACATTTATAAATCCTACCAAAAAAAAAAAATATTAACATTTATAAATATTATTCTAAATTCTTCTAAAACTATATATTCTTGCCATATATTGGTTTTGTTATCTCGATCGTCGATCTCCGGATTTCTATATTGATATCTTTATGCGGACTCGTGGAGAAATTACTAGTACTATACGGGATGATTAATGGGAATAAAGATGTCATAGCCGTACAAAGACGTAATCACATTAGAATTTTGTTTTTGTTTTTGTTTTTGTAATCCGATTAAACTTATCTAGTTAGTCAAATTGTTAGACCTTGATCCGAAAAAAACTCTTCTATGGCTAAGTTTTTGCAACGTAATGGAGTTAATTTCTGATATTTCTGGAGATGAAATACATTACCACTTTAAGTCGTCGATATTTTGTAGACAATATATACATTTGCAATGAACCAAATTGTACACATATATAGATCAATGTATACTCTTATCCTTTATTTCTATTAGGAAAAAAAAAGGACTAAAAATTATTGATTGAGTGATCCACACTCCAACCAATTAGATTCGACAATCCAATAAAGAGAAAGACAAACTAAATAAATTTTACTTCAGAGAAGACCAAGGGTAGGGGTGACACCAATTATCCGGGATCCGGGATCTGATCCGGGATCCGCTCCGAAAAATAGGATATCTGGGTGGGGCGGATCCGGATCCGGATAATGAAAAAGCGGATCCTGCCGGATCCGGATAATAGAAAATTTAAAGCCGGATATCCGGATCCGGAATTTTTTATATAATAATAATATTTTTTTAATATTTTATTACTATTATTTAAATTTTATTAATAAATTCAATTATTTTATATAAGAATAATATTTTTTTAATAATATTTTTAATTATTTATATTAAATTATTTGTTTTTAAATATTTTTCTTGAAATTTTATATTAATAAAAAAAGTTATATAAAAAACCCAGATCCGGATATCCGGCTCTTTTTACGGATATCCGAAATCCGGATATCCGGATGGAACGGATCCGGATCCGGATAATGAAAAGGCGGATCCGGATCCGGATACCCAAAAAAAGCCGGATATCCGGATCCGGCCCAGCCCTAACCGAGGGTGATCGATCTTCCACATTTAATTCCACATGGGCACTTTTAATTCGCTTTACCATTCACATGTTTATTTTATCTAATCTATCTTTTATCTGGACTACCATTATAAATTATACATTAAATGGACGAATAATTTCAGGTGAAAATCTCAATCTGATTTTACATTCTTTGGTGATCAGGTTCTGAGAGAATTCAAACCCATGAATCAAGGATGTACAAATGAAAAATTAAATCATTATATTGAATATGAAAAAAAAAAGAAAAAAAAGAAAAAAGAAAAGAAAAGACTAGTTGAGCAACTTTGTGAGTGGGACTCAGGTTGGGCTTTCTGGATATTGTTGTAATGTTGTTGGTCTAGTCTTTTATGTGTTGTTTCTTGCAATTACTTTAGAAGAAGAGGCCAACAATATATGAATGGGCCTGAGTCCAATATATATGCCTCTTTAGTTATAAATGTTTAAGATCTTATACTACATAGACTTTTATATGCACCACCAACATTTGCAAAGATAGTCTTGTGCGAACTAAAACTACAAGAGTATAGTTTCATACATAAGCGAGATCTCAATTTAGCAGCACATTTACTAGCCAAAATTTTTTTCCACAAATGTTCAATTTCCTTCAAGTTGTTTTTTTTTCCACCTAATTGGTTAATATATACTTTACATCGAGACGACGTAATTTACACAATCAAATTATATAAATTTAGCTTTGTCGGAAAAAAACATATATTTATTGGGATTTAGAAAAATATAAGAAAGTCATATGTCAGCATCAGCAAAATGAATATCATATAGCGACACTGAACTCACTCGTCTCTGTAATTTCCCTTTCCATCTTTCAATATATCCTTTTCCTTTTCTTATAAGTGTAAACTATCAATAGATATAAGAAAAACATATTAGTTTATAACTTATTAATCCTGATACCTTATTAAAAAGTACTCTGCAAAGCATAAAGTGGAAGCTTACTTGGTTTAAGTGGACTTGTTGTATCCATCACATTAAGATATACTATTGTGTAGCAGGAAAAATATTTTGGGCGTTTCTTGTGTAGCAAACTAAAATAAGGTTTGTTCAAGTTCATCATGAAATATCTAACATATAGTCACTACAAAAAAAAATTGAATTAAATCACTTAAATTATATCACAAAACTAAGTGATGTTATTTTAAATTACTTATTTATAAATGAGGTAAAAGTATATGACTTAGGTTTGATGACTCGTTTATTTTTATATCATTTCAGTCCAAATTCAGATTCTATAATACTAATGTTTTAAACTAAATATTCAGGCAAGTGCATGGGTTATAAATTTTGCAGCGGCTTTTGCGAACATACCAAATCCGCCATTTGTAAACATTCCAAATCCGCCTAATCCTCAAGTAAATGGTATTTACATATCAATTTCATAGATACTAAATATTTATATAATAAACTAATACATTGAATGACTTATTTTCCAGGAAAAGGATGATGGTGCCAGTGGATAAACGTTTAAGCGCTTAAGAGTTAAAAAAAATGCTAGTTATGATCAAAAATTTGTTCAGCAAAACGTTTTATCTACTTAAAGTTTATTTAATTTTATGGATTTACACGATGGATTGATTATGTAATTTGTTTTTCAGTTTTTTTTATTATTAATTAATTTTTTTTTTGTTTTTAATTAATTTTTTTCTGGATTAAAAAAATATATGCTAAAACACGTTGTTAGTATTTTAATTTGCGTCACTTTTTTAATGATGTGAAATCATTTCCATACATAATTTTATCAATTATAAAAAATAATATTCTCATCGATTTTTATAAATGATACTATAACTATAATCATTTATGAAAATCGATATAAATATAACATCAATTTTGTCAAAATGATTTAATGATTTAATCAATTATTATAAATGATGCATTTAGTAAATCGTTTATCATAAATGATATAATTATTAAAATTAGTTATCAAAAGTGATACTCCCTCCGTTTCGTTTTAGTTGTCGTTTAAGGTTTTTTCACACAAATTAAGAAAAACATTTAATTTTTTGTTTTATCCTTTATTAATATATTTTATAAAAAAATTCATTGGCCAAAACATTAAAACAGTAGGGATAAAACTGGAATTTTTACCAAACATTTGCATTGAAAACCTAAAACAACAACTATTATGAAACAAAATTTAAATCCTAAAACGACAACTAAACTGAAACGGAGGGAGTACTAGTTTTAATATCAATTGTTTATAAGTGATGGAAATATTAACATCAGTTATAACGACTGTTACAAACATTAACATCACCTACACAAAATGATGTAAACAATAACATCATTTTTTATAACCGACTCAAAATAAACATCAGTTATGACAAGCGATATAAATATTATGTAGAATTACATCAGTTTTTAATAAAATGATGTAAATTATTTGTATTAATAATATATAAATCAATTATTTAAGTGATGTAAAATTTTTTTACATCAATTATAAGTAATACAAATATTCAAAATAAATGATGTAAAATGATTTTTTTTTGTAGTGAGTGAATTAAAATACGATGCTGAAAATTATCATTTCTTAGGTATTAACCAGTATACGAATATAGATTGATAACACAAAATAGTACAAATTTGTTAGATGTAAGCTCGAGCGATATATGTGTATATATTAATCGATAGAACCAGTGAGGTCTCAGTTTGAATGAATCTGTCTACTTCACTAACTAAGTAATTACGCATGGAAATAAACAGCGTATAAACTCAATTTCCTAGTAAGATAGTATTAGTCTTTCTACTATTTTTTGCATATCCATTGGACGTCTTTTGAGTAACAACTTAAAAAGTACTAGGTCTTTTACATTTTTACTCATTTCATTTTCTAATTCGATCTGGTAATAAAAGTTGAACAAACTTTTTTTCCTTAATAAATTTAAAATAAAACTCATTTCACTATATTCGATAAACAAAGATTAAGTATAGATTTTTTTTATTATTATTAAATGAAGAATTATACTTATATTTCACTATATCCATGAATCGATATTTAATTTGCCAATTCTATCACTACAAGAAAACATAGCAATTTCCGACGAACATTTCCGACGAAATTTTTAGTCGGAATTATTCCGACGGATTTCCGGGGAATTTCCGACAAACTTCCAAGAAAATAATATTTCGTCGGAAATTCGTCGGAAACATAAAAACTTTTCCGACGATTAAAAATTCGTCGGAATTTCGTCGGAAATATTTGTCGGAAACCATGGAAAATTCCGACAATCCAATGTCATCGGAAACTGCTCGGAAACTTGTCGGAAAATTTGTCGGAAACAACGAGGTAAACACGTGATTATTCACTGCACATGTTCCGACGTAATCCCGACAACTTGATCGAAAAAATTAGTCGGAAAAGTTGTCGGAAAATCTAAAGTGGTTACCTTTAATTTCCGACGAATTTCCGACAAAATGTTAGTCGGAAAAGTTTTATATATATACTAGACAACGAAAGAATCATAGACACAAGAAAAAAGTTGAAAAAAAAAAAAACAGAAACACAAAAAAATCTTGGAAAAAAAAATGTCTTCTCATAATATTTATAAAATTAGAGAGTGGATGTATAATCGATTAGATGATGAGACCGGAGCTATGAGGCAGGAGTACAAGGAAGGTTTAATGGAATTCATGCAGTTTGCATCTAATCAAGAAATGACGCGTATCGAAGGTATTATGGCATGTCCTTGTGTCAAATGTTGTAATGATCATTTTCTTGCAAAAGACATTGTTTGGAATCATTTATATTGGGGAGGTTTTACACCGGGATATTATATATGGTTTTCTCACGGGGAGGATTTTAGATCGGGTCCTAGTAGTAGTCGTGAAAGAAGAGATGAAAACGTTATAATTAGCGATGAGCATATTCACCAGGAAGAAGATAATGTAATTGGAAGTGGTAGTGGTGAATTTCATGATAACGTAGAAAATACTAATGTTGCGGAGGAACCCAACTTAGAAACACAGGGATTTTTCGATATGTTAGATGCTGCAAATCATCCGATATATGCAGGATGCAGAGAGGGTCATTCTCCTTTATCCGCCGCAACACGTATGATGAACATCAAAACAGACTACAATTTAAGTGAAGATTGTGTTGATGCGTGGGCTGATTTTATCCACGATTATCTACCGGAAGATAATTTATCGCCAGTTTCATACAACGCAATCCAAAAATTGGTATCTGGGCTAGGTTTACCATTCCAAATGATTGACGTGTGTAGAGAAAATTGTATGATTTTTTTGGGAGATAATGTAAATATGTCTCAATGTCGTTTCTGTGGTGCTGAAAGGTTTCAGGTTACTGGTGGGCGAAACAAAATACCATATAAGCGTATGTGGTATTTGCCCTTGGCTGATAGGTTGAAGAGGTTGTATCAGTCAGATCGGACAGCGGAGGGTATGCGATGGCACGCTGAACATGAGTTCACCGGGGAGATTTCACATCCATCGGATGCATCGGCCTGGAAACATTTTTGTTCTACATATCCAGTCTTTGCTAATGAACCAAGGAATGTCTATATGCACGGATGGATTCAATCCATTTGGAAAGTCAGGTAGAAAATATTCTTTGTGGCCAGTAATAGTCACCCCTTACAATCTCCCACCTTCCCTTTGCATGAAAAGAGAAAACGTTTGGCAAGGGCTTATTGCATATTGGTTACAAGAGCAAAATAAGTCCCGTAGTGAAACTAATTCTCAAAATCGCAAGAGTGAACGCGGAGGCTATGGCATGGCTAAACATACTTGTGGATCAATGCCATATGTCCGGAAAAAGGAAAAAATGGTAAATAAAAATTTAAATTTTTTACATTTCAATTTGCATTATAATAAATTTTATTGTAAATTTTTAACTAATAAATATTTTAAATGCAAGCGTAATCCCGAAACCGGTGAGTATCCCGATATGGTGACATTCATGGAGGAGACTCACAAACGGAAATCGGACGGGACATTTGTTGATAAAAAAGCTGAGGCAATAGCTCGTCGATGTCGGGAGATGGAGAAAGAGAAACTCACACAATTGAGTCAACAATCAGACACGCCCGATGATTATCAACTCACCCAAGCAGAAAAAACGATATTTTCCGATCGGTAAGTAATAGTAATTAAAATATTATAATTTAGATAATATGTTTTATTTCCTAACAACATTTTCATTATAATAGCAAGTTGAAGTTAAAAAAGGACGTAGATTTGGATACGGTTCCATTCCGTATGACGAAGACATGGGCGGAAGTTCGTCGTATTCACATGCACACGTGAATTGTCAAGCAAACGCAGCCGAAATCATCGAGTTGAAGACTCAATTAAAAGATTGTAAGTTTTGGATGGATATGATGGCCCGTCTTCATCCCGACATCGTTCCGCCTTCTCGCCAAGATCAACCCGGAAATCAAAATGAAACAAATAACGTTGACACTCTATTTGATAATATATAATATTCGCGTTTGTAATAATTTTTAGTTGTTTAAGAACTTATTAATGTTTAATTATGTTTTTTATATTATGTGGTGAATTTTATTTTTTTTTAATTATGTTTTTATTGAATTATTACAATTAAATTAAATTAATATTATTTAATTTAATTAATTATATTAATTAACAATAAAATATAAATATATTTTTTTAATAAAATATAATATTTCGTCGGAAATTCATCGGAAAATAATAAAAAAATACGATTTGTCGGAAATTCGTCGGAAACTATTAAATATATTATTATATTATATTTTGTCGGAAATTCGTCGGAAACTATTAAATATATTATTATATTATATTTTGTCGGAAATTCGTCGGAACGTTCCGACGAACTTCCGACGATTTGTGGTCGGAAAATCGTCGGAATCGTACTCGATCTTGCGGCGTCGTTTGTAGGAATCTCCTCGGAATGGCGTCGGAATATGCCGTCGGGATATCGTCGGCAATTTTCCGTCGCTATTCCGATGGACATTTCCGACACCTTTCCGACGGGCTTTCGACGAATATTTCCGACGATTTTCCGACAAATATTTCCGACAAATCATCTCGACAGAAATTTCCGACGAATTTCCGACGAATATTGTTTTCCGACCAGAGAATTCCGACAAACTTGGTGTAGTCGGAAATTCGTCGGAAACATCCATTTCCGACGAATTTCCGACTATTTGGTTTGTCGGAATTTGCTATGTTTTCTTGTAGTGTATCTAGGATTATTTTTTGAGCTATTTATGTGAGTCAAATGAATCAACTCATATGTATATCTTTCTATATTACTACTGATTATATGAAGAATAATATCAACATATTTTTCCAAAAAAAAAAGTCATGTATGTACGTCAAAAGGACCAAACTTTTCAATTAATAATCTCATTTTCATACTTAGTAAGTTGTAACGTACAAGGACCATGCGTTTGAATTTTGGCTATTACTTAATGAAAGATACATATTTGGGCTATATTAATTTAAAACCACAATTGACCCAAAAATTAGATTTAAATCTACCGTAATTTGAAAATTAGGTAAGTAGGAAAGAGAAAGATTATGTAAACCAAAACTATCCTTTCTTTTTGGATTAATTACAAAAATGCCACTGACTAAAAAAAGAAAATATGCGGTCGTTACTGTAAGATATGTACTCAGAAGACCAAAAAATTAACTGACACATATTGTCACTGTTCGGTCGTTACTGTAGCCGTAATGTGGACTCTTTTACCCCTAATCATTTAGCAAATGCAATTCATGACTAGAAGAAAAGAAAAAAAAAACAAAAGTTTTAACTTATCATCTTTCTCTTTTTTTTTTTTTGGTCATCTGGAATTATATTAGATAAAGGGTGGATTACAGTTTACAAAAAACCTAGCCATAACTGCCACAGAAAGAGAGAAACTAAAATCTCTCAACCACAACGAAGAACATAGCACCTAATACAAAATCTAAGTGCCTATACAAAAGAAGGAACACACCACCAATGATCCAAACAGGGACAGAGACGTTGCAGCTCAAAAAGAGGCAAGAGCTCTCTCATCCTCAAACAAACGATTCAGCCAACTAGGATGCCTGAAGCTACATAAGAGTGTAACCTTAGATCAGAAGTGACAGATTGAGCAATGAGAGACGCCCCTCTATTTGCAAGGACAGACTCCTTAGACAACTTCCATTCAATGATCCCTTTCAAAAGTTCCCTCACCTCCGAGGAATGAAAATAGAAGGAAGGCCAGGCCATAGGCCTATTCACAGCACCCACCAGTTCATCAGCTTGTAAAACAAACATGACTCTTCCCAGATTATGGCTCCTCATACTTTCTATACACCACATCAAAATCTCTAATTGGGCATCCAAATTGCTGCATACATTGAGAAAACCCTTACGACTATGCAGCAAAACCACTCCATTTTCATCTCTAACCACCCAGGCACCCCCTGCAATTCTATTCCTCCTAGACCATGCCACACCAATATTACATTTGAGCCAGCCCACATCTGGAGGCCGCCAAACACCCGCAGCCAGAACATTCACCTGAGGACCATCCCTAGCAACCACAACCACAGCCGGTTCCTCTCCCTCAGACTCAACTTTTTGAGCCTCCATCCACTCATTCACTTCTTCTCTGATCTTTTCTACAGTTTCCAGAGCCGAGTAACTCTTACCTTCAAACAGAGTGAGATTTCTGTTAGTCCATATCCTCCAGAGAATCCAGGGAAAGCTAGTTCTAAGAAGAGCAGGCCACTTCAAGTTGGATCTGTTATCAATGAGATGATGGATATTTGAGAAGATAGACCCATTTTGAAAACCAAACTCTGGCCCAGGATAATCAGATAAAGCCCATATTTGCCTAGAAAGAGAGCACGAGAACAGAATATGATTAGTAGTCTCCTCTTCATCCATCCCACAAATCTGGCATTTGGAATTCAAGTTCAATCCTCTTTTAGCGAGAGCCACAGCAACTGGTAAGGCTGCAGAGAGAGCTTTCCAGAGGAAAATTTTAAGTTTTGGATCAGTAGGCAGATCCCAAACCTGATTCTTTAAGCCATTTGTAGAAGGAGCAACTGCAGCCTCAAACCTGCCTTGAATATTAATTGACTGAGAGGCTAACCAATATGCTGACTTCACAGAAAAATTACCACCTTTGTTATATCTCGAGGCAAAAAAATCTTCATATCTCATGGCTGGTTTGATTTTCAAAATCCTTTCAATATCATCAGGCAAGAAATGCTCCTGTAGAATCTGCAAATCCCAGGACCTAGCCTGTCTATTTAATAATTCAGAGACTCTCAAATCAGGATTGAAAAAATTGTTTCTTCGCAGTGGAGCTCTCCATCCATCATCCTCAATCCAGAGATCAATCCAAACCCTTAAAGATTTCCCATTACCAACCTTCTTAAGAATCCCTTGGTTCAGCAGATCCCTTCCATGTAAAATACTTCGCCAAGCAAAAGAAGGTCTGGTCCCTAAGGAAGCATCCAAAAATTCAGAAGATTCAAAGTACCTACTTTTCATGAGCTGAGCAAAAAGACAAGAAGGCTCATGGAGAATTCTCCATGCCTGCTTTGCTAATAAGGCTTGATTGAATCCTTGAATGTCCCTAAACCCAAGTCCACCCAAGTCTTTCGGGAGACATAGCTTTTCCCAACTTTGCCAATGAATCTTTCCTGACTTATTACCCACACTCCACCAGAAATCTGCCATAGCACTTGCTAAATTATCACAAGTCGTCTTGGGAAGTTTGAAGCACGACATAGCAAAGACAGGCATAGCCAGTGCCACAGATTTTAACAAGACCTTTTTCCCTCCTTGAGATAAAAACCTAGAAGACCAGCCCGCTAGCTTCTCTTTTAGACGATCCTTTATGTATCCCAAAAGCTCTACTTTAGATCCGCTGAAACACTCAGGCAAACCCAGATAAGAACCCGTCCCTCCTTCAGTCAAGATACCAAGAATATTCTGCAGCTCAAGTTTTGTCACAGGATCCACTCTTGAACCAAAAGTGATTGCCGACTTACTCAGATTAACTGATTGCCCCGTGACAGCCCCATACTCATTAAGAATCTTTTGCAGAACCTGACCTTGATCTTTTGAAGCCTTACACATAAAAAGACTATCATCCGCGAATAGAAGATGATGAATCTCAGGACCATCTTCACTGAACTTGATACCATGAAGACTTCCTCTTCTTTGAGCCGCATTCAGCATGTGAGTCAACCCTTCAGTACAAAGAACAAACAGAAAAGGTGACAAAAGATCTCCTTGACGAATACCTCTCTGTGGAGTAATCATACCATACAGATGGTCATTGATCAGGACAGAATAAGTCACCGAAGAAACACATACCATGATCCAATCAATCCAAACTCTGTGAAAACCCAATGCCAAAAGCAAAGATCTCAGGTAACTCCACTCCACCCTATCATAAGCTTTGGACATATCAGATTTGACTGCCATAAAATCAGATGAAATGGTAGGATTCGTCCTCAAACTATGAACTAACTCGTGAGCAACCAAAATATTATCTGTAATCTGTCTTTCAGAGACGAAAGCTGATTGATTAACAGAAACAATTTGGGGGAGAATCGGTTTCAATCTTCTTACTAGGATCTTGAAAACAATCTTGTACAAAACGGAACAAAGGCTTATGGGTCTCAAATCAGACATTTCAGTAGGATGATGAATCTTTGGAATTAAACACAAGTGTGTATAATTCCATTCTGGAGGGAAGGAGCCATTGACAAAGAAAGCCTGAATCTCCTTTATAACCTGATCTCCAACAATATACCAGTATTGTTGAAAGAAAAAAGCAGACATACCATCTGCACCCGGTGCACTTGAAGCTTTAAGAGAGAAAGCAGCTTCTCTGATCTCCTCCTTTGAAACTCTTGCAATAAGTCTAACATTCATCTCATCTGTCACCTTGGGTGAGAATCCTTCAAACCAGTCATTAAAACTCGGAGGATTAGAGGACTTAAAAAGATTCTCAAAATAAATCGATGCAACCTCCCCTTTAGCAGCTTCTGAGAACTGTAAATCACCATTAGCATCTTTCAACTTCTCTATTCTTTTTCTTGATCTATTTCCTTTGACTGATGCATGAAAATATTTAGAGTTTCTGTTACCACTCCTTAACCATTTCTGCCTGCTCCTTTGCTTCCAAAAAGACTCTTCTTCACGATAAGCTTCAGCCAAATCTTTCTTTAATCTGAATAGCCAATTCCGATCAGGCCATCTCTCAGATTGCAGCTTCTCTAAAGCTTCTTCAAGTCGTTTAATCTTATCATGAGAATTCAGATTATTGTTCCTCTTCCAAGCACTCAAAGACTTCCTACAACATCTAAGTCTGTGAGACACCTTAAAAGACTGACAACCACCATCTGAACTCCAGGCCTTTAGAATAGCCTCTTTGACCCCAGGTTTATGCAGGAATCTTTTATCAAACCTGAATTGGCCTCTATAAGAATCTTGGGAAGCCAAAAGATTGACAAAAACAGGTCTATGATCTGAACCACGCATATCCAAAAAAGCTTGATTGGAAACCGGAAACTGATCAAACCACGCCTTGTTCCCAAAAGCCCTGTCAAGTCTACACTGGATCCAGTGATCTCCTCTTCTTCCTGCCCAAGTAAACTTGTTCCCAGAACTAGGCAGTTCCATCATGTCACAAGCAGAAAGCATCTCAGAAAAAGTTTTGAAACAAGAATCACTTCTTCTAGGACCCCCAATCTTTTCACCATTATGCAATATCGCATTGAAATCTCCAATCATGCACCATCTCTCTCTTCTACCAACTCCAAAACGACTGATTCTTTCCCAAATATTACTTCTTTTACTTGAATCCGGATCTCCATAAACACAAGACAAGAAAAAGTTAGAAGCTCCAAACTGTACTTGGACATCCAGCAGATTCTTGTAAAAAAACAGAAAGTCTAGCTTGATACTTGATTTCCAAAAGAGAGCCAATCCTCCACACTTACCAATTGGCTCCACCGTATGTACTCTATCATAACCTAACCACTCTTGAATATCTACAAGAACATCTCTTCCATGCATCGTTTCCATCAGAAATAACATCTCAGGAAAATGTTTTTTACGCATTTCCTCGAGGCGAGGAATCGCCAAATCTTGAGACCGTCCCAATCCTTGACAATTCCAACTCATAATGCTCATTAAACATTGGGCGATCCCTCATTTGGGATCACCTTGATAGCCTTAGGCCTGGAGCCTTTTGAAGAGGACTGTGACTCCACCACAGACTTTCTCTTGACCAACACCCCGGAACTCAACCCTTCTTTGACATTCACAGCTTCTCTAGGGTTCTTTGAAGCTGCCTCCTTTAGTTTTCTAGTGATTTTACTAGGCCTTTTTCTCTGTTTGGTCTTCTTTTGGATATTCCCGGAAGAACTAGCTCCAGAGGAGCCTATTCTGTACACCGTAGAAATATCCTGAGAAGGCTGAGCCAAACATAAAAAATCCATAGGAGCATAACTAGGACCCGAATCTTCCCTAGCCACCAAATTAAGATCACCAATCCCCAACTGTCTTTGATCAACCTTCATGACAGATTTACCAGAAGATAACCTAGAGGGTAAACCAGACCCCTCTCCCTCCTCATAGCTGAAGACAATGCCTTTAGGACAGACTGACGGCTTAACAACCAAAGGAGGAGGTTCCAGCTGCAGATAGGATTTAGCCAAAATCGGGTCACTCTCCACTTCCTTTAAAGACTTCTTGATTCTATCAATCCGAATGAGTCTCTCGTCTTCCATCGAAACATTCCAGTATTGTCGCATACCTTCTAGCACTTCAGGAGCAATTCTCTGTCTTCCTGTCAGAGGATTGATACCAACTTGATTTTCTTCAAGGATCCCAAACAAAACATCAGCTTCCTTAAGGAAAGGAGCTTTGACCTCTTTAGCAACTGGCTGACCTTTCTTCCTTGCATCAGCTTTCTCTTGTAACTTCATCAAAAACAGGGGACAGGCTTCCCTTTCATGAGTCAATCTTTGACATTCGTAACATCTCTTTTGTACTCTCTCATACTCAAAATGCACCTTAGTAGTTTCTCCATGAGGTAAGTTAACCACTTTAGCTCTTCTAAGAGGTCGAGATACATCAAAACTCACCAGAGCTCTCACATACTCCAAGATCTGAGGCTTGTCAGGATCAAATTCCACAACTTTTACCTGACCAATGAGATCGGCGAGAGCCGTGATAGCAGGAGTAGTGTAGAAATTGATCGGAAGCCTCCAAATTTGAACCCAAATCGGTACAAACATCAAATAATTATCAGGCGGATGCTCAAACCATCTCTCGACCGCAAGAGCCCATTCATTGTAAGTATGAAGACCTTTCTCCAGAACATCGTCAAGGTCGTACTTAGAGTTGAATATGAACTGGAATTTCTCAGAAGAGAGGGCGATTCCACAGACTTTATCCTTCTTTTGCCATTTCTGCGGCATATCTCTGATTAGGTGCTTCATCACCTGACAATCAGGATTCAATAATCTTCCCACGAGACTGAGAGTATTTCGTTCACAAGAGGAGTATTCAGGGAGCGCCGGCATTTCGAACGGAACATCTTCTTCTTCCAATGACATCGCCATCATCGCTTTATCCATTGCCGAAGACATTGAGGAGACCAGAAGCAAAGATGAAGAACACCAAAGAAATTTAGAACAAACGTGATTTTTCAGACAGATCTGATAAATTAAGGGCTGCGAAAGAGCAAAAGCAGGGAATTAGGTCAAAGGGAAAGTGTTTTTTTCCGGTCTAAGCTCTATAACCACACAAGGCAAAGACTCTTGTTGGAAAAGAGGATACTAAGCCCAAAAAAGGGAATCCTGCATCAGAGACATCTTAGTTACATCCATATCTTAAGAAGCATGTTAAGAGTTGACTTATCATCTTTCTCTTGATTTGCTGTTTAACTTTTTCTTTAATAATCCATCTCTTTCATTTTCTGTCCTCGAGAACCAAATTCGGATAATTTCTCAACGGAAGATTGTTTGTAACAAAAAAAAAAAAAAAAAAAAAAAAAAAAAAAAGATTGTTTGTAACAAAGAGTTGTCGTTAGAGTTCTTATTAATTTGTAATTTGCAAAACTAAATTGATTCCAGCGATGAACTAGGATGCTGAGATTGCTCAACAAACGGATTCGATTCAGGATCTTAAGGTAAGTCCGTGAGATATTGTTGTTGATTCAAGCGGGGATGGTCATGAAGCCATTGACGATGATGATGATGACGCTGCAACTTCTTCACATATGGAGCTCGATTCGGCGGTTACAAATGATGATGGTGATGTTAGGGTTTATGAGAGTGAGAGATCGGAGTAAAATAGTGTCGTAGGGAGTGAGGAAGAAGATGATATGAGTTACATGTCCTAAATAATTTGTTAACTGGATTTTTATGAGGTTTATTAAGCAAAAGAGGGAAATTGGTATCATTGACAGCAACACCATAGTCTATTTTTCTGGGTTCGATTTCGTTATATGGGTAACAATTTAATTAGCAACACATACAAAAATGATAACTTAGAAGTTAAACGTGATAACTAAATTATCATTATAAATAAGTATGCTAATATAAAAGTTATCGGTAATAATTGAATTATTAGAGTAAATAAACAGGTTAATATATAAGTTAGTTGATACCAATCACATTTTACCATGTTCATACAAATATTATTCAGATATTTAATATGTTAGCATGTTATCATTCTATATTAACATATAATTTGTAACTTATCGTGATACTACAGTATTTAGCATGTGTCATCCGTATATTATCGTGTCAAAATAAACATTGTCGCCGCATATTTTCTTTTTTTAGTCAGTGGCATTTTTGTAATTAATCCAAAAAGAAATGATAGTTTTGGTTTACATAATCTTTTTCTTTCCTACTTACCTAATTTTCAAATTACGGTAGATTTAAATCTAATTTTTGGGTCAATTGTGGTTTTAAATTAATATAGCCCAAATATGTAGGTACATATTTCGAGTTTTTCTAACATTAAAATATTTGAATATCTTAACAATAAAGTGCATACAGATATCTAATTTCAGGAGAAGGGACATAAATATCTTACTTTTTCAAACCCTTTTAAGAGTGAGTCAACATATCAATGTTATGCGAAAATCATCAAAATCAACGAATAGTAGATCGAGAATAAAATAATGAAACGGGGATAGACACGTGTCGACGTGTTAGGTTTCACGTGTTTTAGGTAATCACATAAAGATAATTATATGATTAGAATATAAATCAACCTAATGAACAATGAACACGTACCCCTACTAATTTTGGATGCTTTAGACACACTCACAAGGCGTCGTGGCAATTTCTCAGCGATTTGAAGTCCTCAAAAGCCGATAATGCTTGTACTAAGACAACTATAATGACGTATTATCTTTCTCCCTAATTAAAAACAAACCATGTTTATGAACTTAGCAGTAGCCACGTGGTCGATTTCCAAATTTGGACCCACTGGTTTTATACATATCAAACTTTATCCATATTTTTTTATTCGATTTCTCGTTATATTTTTGGTAGGTTATCGTTGATACTACCAAATTTAGATTTTAGCTGTAGAATTTTATTAGATTGTTTATGGAGTATAATAATATTATTAAGGTTAGAAGATATTTACACCTGTTTAACCTCAAAAACAGATATTTAAGAAAAGACAGTAAGTAATCGAATATGTGTACATTTGTTTGTGCGCTGCTCAAAACGCGTACGTGTGTTACATATGGATGCGTACTTTGTTATATATTCACGTTCTAAATTATTACTAATATAATAGTAAGAGTTTTTCGGATTATTAAACTCAAAAGGTGAATGTGATGATTATCCGGTCTAGTCTAGTTTAAAGTCTGTGGGTTTTCCAGGTTGGAATGGGTAAGTTGTCGGCCTGATAACATGACACGATAGCACAATTAGAAACACTAATTGTGAGATTTTATTATTAATTGAACATTTGGTTTTGATTTTGTTCTAGAATACATTTTTTTATTCTATCTTTGATTATTAATTGATCTATGATGGTATCAAAAGGTTGTGGTAAAAGGGTGCTCTTACTTTAGTGAACAGTCTGGTATCAACTTAGAAGCTGCCTTGCCATTGGATTCGATCTAAGCTTCATATTTGTGGATACAAACGCTTAGTGGGACTATGTTTCCTCCGGTGGGACTCATGTCTTTTTCAGTGTGTGGTTTAAAAAATATGATAACAACACTGATAAAATTGCATCCGAAATTAAGAGAACCAAGTAGTGTTCTTCCTAGACAAAAATTTCCTTGTTGGGTAAAAACATATTTTGTGTTGAATTGTTGGGGAGCATTGAATAGATGATTCAAATTAAGAGAACCAAGTAGTGTCCTTCCTAGCCGTCGTGACGACTGACTTCTTCAACTATTTATTTGGTATTGTTTTCCCAAAACTTGTATATGGTTAAAATGACATATATGTGAAGGTAAAAATGGATTGTTCATCAGAAAATTTCTCTAACGTTAAAATTAATCAGAAATAATCAATACTCCATTCTTTCTTTTATAAGTGATGTTTTAAGCTTCTAATTTTGTCCTTAAATAGATGATGTTTTCAATTTTTAATACAAAATTAATTACTTTTTATTGGTTTTGAAGATTTATATTTTGTAGATTGTTTTTTTATTGGTTGATTAGATAATAAATGATGTTTTAGTTTAGAAATAAACAAAAATTAAATAATTTCTTAATCAATGTGCATTCTCCTAAAACATCACTTATAAAAAACGGAGGGAGTATAACTTATCTAAAAGTAAAAAAAATAAATAGCCTTATCTAAAAATCGATTTTTACATAAAAAAGAAGTGGTGGTTGAGTTATACGCTTTGTTATGAAGAGATTTAAGGCCAACCTTGAGTATTTCTGGACTATAAGCACACAAGTAAAGATTAAAAAAAAATTGGGCTGATTAATAAACAATTTTTAAAAAATTAGAAATAGTTGTTTGAAGGAAGAATGGGTTGAATCCTCCAAGCAATGTTTAAGAAAGCATTAAACGGTAAGCAGGCGATTACCCATAGCCTAACGCCTAAAATGTCTAATCGGAGTCTAGACGGTTTTAGGCGGTTTATAACTTTTTTTTTTAATACAAATAAAAATATGAATTTGTAAGCAAAATTTAGAAGAATTATTTATTTAGTTATATCAAACAATGAGATTTTATCTCCATATTTTCCAATTTTTAACTAACTAATTCTATAAATTTGTAAGCAAATTTAGACAAAACATTTATTTAGTTATATCAAACATTACTTAGTTATAATTATTTTGTCAAAGACTATGTAGTGCGTTTTTATAATCACCCTCTTTTGGTTTCCTTTTCTTTGGAACAAGAATGACATTTACAGAGGAAATATTTGACTTACATACTAATACCGGATTTTGTGCAGGTGAGAAAGATTTGTCTAGACGTAGGACCTAGAAAACGGATTATAGTTTGTTTCCGACAATAGTGAAATGATCCGATTGTATAGTAAAGTCTGTTTGTCTTCTAGATTGGTATTGTTTTGGTCAGGTACTCAGGTATAGATAGTGATTCGATAGCCAAAAGTTCTAAGAAGTGACTCAATGCATGGTTTCTTTCCGAAGATATTATTTTGCGATACGTGCTGTGGAAAGTCGCCACACAATTTTTGTTTGCCATATAGTTTACATATCTGACAAAACTTAGTTAATGTGTTGCGGTTGAATTGACAACAAAAAAATTATCCTCAAAAGTATCTAATAATTTGGCTAGTCAATAATAACAAATTTTAATTGACAATTATATAGTAGTACTTTTGGTGATTTATAGTCGATTTAACTAAAAACAAAAGTAAATAATAACAAAAACAAAAGTAAATGATTTAATAATAACAAAAGTAAATGATTTAACTAAAAACTAAAAATTTAAATATCATAAAATTTATTAAGTAAAAAATTAGCTTCCATATGTAACTTAAGTAGTTCGATGACTTAAATCAAGAAAACGTTATGTAGTTTTTAAAACGTCTTCTAAAATCGACTAAAAATTTATTTTATTTTTCCTAAAATAGTTGTTACACTTTTGAAAAAATATTTTCATGGTTGTTAATCAACGAAAATTTGAATTAATTTGATAAAAACACTTATTAACAATAAATCAAGACAAAATATGTCAACAATAATAGTAGCCAATATTCATACAAATTTATTCGTTTAACTCTTTACTATCTAACAACAACAAAAAAAATCACACCAAAATAAGTTCACAGAAAAACCTTTTGGATATATTTATTGTCGCTTTTCAATGATTTTCGTGAAAAGGATATATTTGTGTAAAATAAGAAGGATCTTGACGGGTGTAAATACATGCACAATTCTTAATTTAGACCAATCAGAAGACAACACGAGCACATCTTTATTATAAGCTATTAAACAAAGTCTTGCCTATTTTGCTTAGAATAATATGAAGAGTGACTCATCAGGGAGTGGAAAAATATCTCAGGATTTGCTTTAAGCTCCAACATGTCAAACTATCTAGATGCCAACAACACAAAGTGCAAATTTTGTTATATAAAAACAACACTAATATTTCTAATATTAAAAGAAAAAAAGGAAAATTAAAATATTTTTAAAAATATACAAAAGAAGAAGGAATCCATCATCAAAATTTATAAATTGTAATAAAATACAAACTTGTTTGCTTCCTTGTCTCTCCCTCTCTCTCTCATCTCTCCTATCTTCTCCATATATACTTCATCTTCACACCCCAAAACTCCACACACCATATCTCTCTCTCTCTCTCTATCTGCAAATTTTCCAAAGTTGCATCCTTTCAATTTTCACTTCTTTCTAATCCAATTCACATTTTTTCCTCTTTTGCTAATTCAAATTTTGTGAATTATTTGAAACCCACTTCAGAAACTTTGTTTAAATTTGAAACCATGGATCCATCATTTAGATTCATTAAAGAGGAGTTTCCTACTGGATTCAGTGATTCTCCATCACCACCATCTTCTTCTTCTTCCTCATACCTTTATTCATCTTCCATGGCTGAAGCAGCCCTATATGATCCAACAACATTGAGCTATCCACAACCAATAGAAGGTCTCCATGAATCAGGGCCACCTCCATTTTTGACAAAGACATATGACTTGGTAGAAGATTCAAGAACCAATCATGTAGTGTCTTGGAGCAAATCCAATAATAGCTTCATTGTTTGGGATCCACAAGCTTTTTCCATCACTCTCCTCCCCAGATTCTTCAAGCACAATAACTTCTCCAGTTTTGTCCGCCAGCTCAACACATATGTAAGTCCTAATCTCTCTAAATATACCTACTTTTTTGTTGGTCAAACAAATCTCTACATATACCTATATATAAATATATAAAATATATATGTGTATTTCTGAGTGATTCACACCAATCTGATTAGGAGATCTATCTACTAATTCACAATAAAATCGTGACTACAACTATTGGGTCAAAGATTTGATTTCTGTGGATTTTTCCCTATGGCGCAGTTAATTTTTAAAGGAGTTCTTGAGACTTCGGCTTTTGATTGGTGTTTTTGATACATCATCAGAGTGGTTAATTAGTGTAATTATAATATATATGATTGCTTGAAGCATTCGTGAGTTTATATATATAAATGCAAGTGGGGATCACTGTTTTCCGAAAAATGACATAATATTTTACAGCCCACTTGTGTGTCTTTTGGTTTCTAGAGATCTCTTGAAATGTTCTACATTATATTGTACAAATGTTCTACATTGTTTGCTAGAAATCTCCAAAAAAAAATCTCTACAACATTGATTGATATAATATGCAACTAAGATATTTATCTCTCTATATAAAAATTACACCAACGATGTGGAAACTCTCGTCTCTAATTGCATAAAATACAAAATATATAGAATGAGATGGTAGAGTTGATGATATTTTTCGGATTTTTGATATAAGAAAAGTTGAATAAGACGAGTTTAAATTTAGAGTTGAATCTAACTATAAAATTATGTATCTAGGGTTTCAGAAAGGTGAATCCGGATCGATGGGAGTTTGCAAATGAAGGGTTTCTAAGAGGGCAAAAGCATCTCCTTAAGAACATAAGGAGAAGAAAAACAAGTAACAATAGTAATCAACTGCAACAACCTCAAAGTTCTGAACAACAATCTCTAGACAATTTTTGCATAGAAGTTGGTAGGTATGGTCTAGATGGAGAGATGGACAGCCTAAGGCGAGACAAGCAAGTTCTGATGATGGAACTAGTGAGACTGAGACAACAACAACAAAGCACCAAAATGTATCTCACTTTGATTGAAGAGAAGCTGAAGAAGACGGAATCGAAACAACAACAAATGATGGGCTTCCTTGCCCGTGCAATGCAGAATCCAGATTTTATTCAGCAGCTCGTAGAGCAGAAGGAAAAGAGGAAAGAGATAGAAGAGGCCATCAGCAAGAAGAGACAAAGACCGATCGATCAAGGGAAAAGAAATGTTGTTAATGTGGGAGATTATGATGATGCAAGTGGTTATGTGAATGATGCTGCAGCCTCAACCTCAGCCTCAGCCTCAGCTTTTCTTGATATGAGTCAAGAAACATATGGAAACATGTCTGAATTCGAGATGTCGGATTTGGACAAACTTGCTATGCACATTCAAGGACTTGGAGATCATTCCAGTACTAGGGAAGAAGTCTTGAATGTGGAAAAAGGAAATGATGAGGAAGAAGAAGAAGATCAACAACAAGGGTACCAAAAGGAGAACAAGGAGATTTATGGTGAAGGTTTTTGGGAAGATTTGTTAAATGAAGGTCAAAATTTTGATTTTGAAGGAGATCAAGAAAATGTTGATGTGTTAATTGAGCAACTTGGTTATTTGGGTTCTAGTTCACACACTAGTTAAGAAGAAATTGAAATGATGACTACTTTAAGCATTTAAATCAACTTGTTTCCTCTTAGTAATTTGGCTTTGTTTCAATTTAATTAGTAATTTGGCTTTGTTTCAATTAAGTGAGTCGTGGTCTAACTTATTGAATTTGGGGGTTAAATCTGTTACTTGTTTCTTTTGACTTATTTTTGGAAATAAAATTGCTTTTTAAAACCAACATAAATTCTTATAAGATATAGAAATTGTTAAGAAATTATATTAATTATCGACAAATTTGTATGATTATTTGAGTGTGTGAATGGTGATATATATAGATCAAAAACTATCTTAAATTTGTGTTTAATCTGATTGTTCTTTTAACTCAACATCTCAGTATCATGAAAGAGAGAATCGTTTTGTAAGACTGGAAAATCAACTTGCATTACATAATGTTGTCAACTTGAGACTCTAGAATCGATAATCACATGTTTTTCCAAGCAGTCTGCTACTCGATTAGAAGCTCTATAGTTGAATTGTATCTTCATTCGATGGAATCCTTGTCGAATCATTTCGATTTTGTGAACAAGATCCTTTATAGAAGCCCGTGATTCTGGTGCATCAACATCCAAAACAACCTCCTTAATTTGCATCAGTTTCAAACACTACATTGGTGTACCCCAACTTCTTCCCACATTCTTACCAAAAAAAAAAAAACTTCTTCCCACATTATATTAATCTAAAAATATATATATTAGCATTAGTGCAAAATTATGTACACAAGTTCATGGTAATTAACGCTAGCAATATGAACTAATGCAATCAGTTTAAAACTACACAAATGACTACACGAATTCACTGTACATGAACTTGTAGATCATTGTTCGGTACCATATAACTTATATTGATGCTTCAACTTTTAATTAGTATTAGTATGTATGTATATGTTTTTTTTTGCCATCTTTTTAATTAATTAGTATACATATATACTGATGATGCTATGATATGTATATACATAATATGTTAATTTCAAGATATGAATTCAGATGATCCAATTCAACTAATGGGTAAAACAACTCGAGAATAACCAAAATAGATAACTGTACTGATCGACTATATATATCGTGGTGGTCTAATGGATTTTAAGAGTTGCCACAAAAATAAATCTCATCGCTCTAATACTTTAGAAAAGAAAAAAAAAACAATTGATGGTTAGAACTTAGACCTATGTCGATTCATAATTTCTTATCCTTTTATATATATATACTCAGTCGACTTGTTAGAAAAGTAATATAACCGACATGAAACACGGCTCGAGTCGTGTTCTAATTTTATATGTTTTTTCTTCTTTTGTTGACTGGAAAAAAAAAAAAAAACACGGCTTGGAATTTACTGTTCATATATTGGAATTTACTTTTTATTTTCACATTTGGTGGGATCTCTCACAAGCACCTTCTAGGTCTTGTTTAGTTGTATTTATTTGTTTATTTCTCGTGTTGCGGAAAGAGCAAGCTATCCACAGGCTTTTGATCTTGTCATAATAATCATTGTCTATATATTTCCCGAAATAGGTACCATCAGATCCAATTTGCTTGGTCTGTCTTTATGGATGTGATCATCAAAACAGATGCTAGTAGTTAATTAAAAACAGCAAGATTAATAAAAGAAGGAAAATAATTATCATCGCAGTTCGATGATTATTCTAAGTTTCTAACTAGTCGAACAATTTGATTAAATAGAATTATTTATAAAAAACTTAAAAGACATTTAAAAAAACTTTAAAAAAAAATAGTTATGGTCGACAAAAAAAATAATAGTTATAACTAAATAATGATTGCCGTTTTATGTTTGAAGTGGCGGATAGTTGTCTTAAAAACACGTTGTAATGTTGTTTCCAAATGCTTTAACATATTATATGTTTGAGAGTATAATTACATTTATTCCTATAATCGTTATACTTTATAGCAAAAAGCGATAAATTTTTTTGTTTTAAATATATGGCAAGATGTAAAACCTATAAAATACACTAGATACTCAATTATTCATTGTTTTTCTGCAAATTAGAGGAATAACAAAATCGTAAATAAATTGTTTTACTTATTGTGTATGTTATCTTAATAACATAGATTTCGGGTAGTTTATAATTACATGATATCATACTAGTTATTTAAATCACACGCCAAAAGTTAAAAAAAAAAAAAAACTCTTACTTACAGCCTTACAGGTTTGTCGCCGAATCATTTTTATTGTTTTGTAGATAAAGCTTCCAAAAAGGTAAATCTAACTAATTAACCCTAATAACATATATGAGCAAAAGAAAGTATAAAAGAGAACCATATGCACAATTAAAATAGTGATAAAGAATTAAAGTTGACAATTAACTAACATAGTTAAAAAGAATAAAATCTAGTTACAAATTCTACTAGATCATGTATCTATACTTATAAATCCCTTATATAAAAACAAAAACTAAGACCATCAATGGTTGTGAGTTTTTAAATAGTTTTTAGATTATAGATTTTGGTTTTTGGATTATAGATTTTAGATTTTGTAAAAATAAAAGATAAAAAATTAAAAAATTAAAAAAAAATGTTACGTTCAGAATTTGTTTAGAAAAAGTGAAAAACTCAAATAAGATGGATTTTGGATTGTCAATGAAAATTGTCAAAATTTGCAAAAACTAGGTTTTCTATTTTTTAGGAAAACCATTTTCACAAAATCTTGAATTGGTGAAAAATAAGTTTTTCAAAAATAAAAACCAAAAACCATTACACCATCTCCAATAACCCACTTTTATATTTTCTTCTATTTTATAGGTATACATTAGAACAAAATCTCTTTTAAAATAGAATTTTTTTAAAATAAAAGAAAATATAGAGATATATAGTAGAGATGCTCATACAAAAACTAGTAAACATTCAAAGCCTAAAAAATAGCGACCGATGGAAGAGGTAAAAAAAAAAAAGCAAACGACATTGGTAAGTGGGAGTCACGTAAATTCTGTCTGTTGGTTTAAGATTGCGGATACACGTGCTCTGCTGTTTTTTTTCATGACTCACTGAATCACACTTCATTGCTAGTTAGATAACATTTTATAGGCTTTTTATTGAATTTTGCCCATATCAGATTCACACTTTTCTTTTGATTACTTGTAAATTCTACTGATATCAAACTGTTTTATGATCTCACGTGAAACGTATAAATAATCTAAGTCCTTAGTAAGATAATTGTTATACAAAAGAGAACAATCCATAGCTTTTTTTTTTGTTTTTTGGTATGAAGAGAACTAATTCAATGTGAAGCTATTCCCCTGCATACATTTATACGTTTTTTAAAATATGGCCCATTTACTTTACTTCACGTCTTAACGCATGCTCGTTTCTCTTTGAATGTGAACCACTGGTCCACTATGTACTGTTTTTATAACCAAAAAGAGTATTTATTATTTCAAACGTAAATTATGTTTGTGTTTACATATACATACTTTTATGTATTGAAAATAAAATATTTTTAGGTTTTCATACGCTAATTTTGAAATTGTAAATATAAAATACGAAACATAAATCTTTATATTAGTGATAACTGTGATAAGTAAAGAGATGTTTATGACCAGCCATAGAGATGAATTTGACTACTGCCATGATTACAATCCATTTTAAATCGCTAGTTGCGTATTAGTACCATCAGCGATTCAGTATTGTAATCGCTAGATAGAGTATTGTAATCTATTTTGAATCGCTATATCAACGGTTAGTTAGACAAAAGAATTTAGTAATGATTGAGGTTGGTAGTCCATCAGTTTAAAAGATAAATTTGGCTCTTTTTTTTTGGTCAATGATAAATGAGATAATTGGCTGTGAGACAATAAATTTTGGTCTAACTAGTTTTTCTACATTTCATTTCAGAGTCCATAACAAAGAAAATTTTAGCCCACATTTGTTCCCAAACTAACTCCACGCATCTTACGTTTCGTTTTTGTTTTTAATTTTTGACTCTTACGTGTTTATTTCTCTTTCATGTTCATCAATCTCTTCTCTCTCAACTATGTTATAATTAATTCGTTCAAACCGAGTAGAAAAACACTGTCGTTTACTATTCATACTGCCGTATCGGAGAATTATATAGTAGATCTATTCTTTGGAAGAGACAACTTTCACGAACAAATATGGATCTACAACCATTTTCGGATCTCCACAAATAGATCTACAAAGCATTAATGCAGATCTAAGGAAATTCGAGGAGATGAGTCAAGGAATTTAGATAGATAAACTAATAATAACGGTTCATGCATAGGTAAACTAATAAGAATTTTTATGGTGAAAAGTAAGAAGACGATGAAGCATAGTCCATAGTTTATGCATGAAATAAATTTAGGGAAAAAAGTTCAATTTCATCAAAATTTCACAAATAAATAGTAAGACATGCTGCCCTGCAAGTTTCATGTATCCCTTGGTTAAATTTCTTAAATTTCGTAGCAACATTTCTATGGAGATGGACGATAGAAACCCTATGAATTACTTTTTGGATAAACATGTCCCAATTAGTTAAAGAAAATTTTTTTAACTAATTGGGACATGTTTATCCAAAAAACAATTCATAGGGTTTCCAAAAAGCAATTATAAATTTAGCTACATGTCGATACATTTTCTTAGAGTCATATATCGAACTATGTAGTGCTAAATTTATCAATAGATATCTACGTAATTAGGTTAGTGATTTAATTTCCACCCATACGTGTTCGTTATAAATTCAAATTTCAGAATTACGAAGACAATTGGACGGCTTGCATTTAATAATCGTTCCTCGTTTTTTGTGTCGCCGTGTAAAAGTAATTTCACATGCAGAACATTTAAAAACTGTCATTTCATTCGTTTTCCTCACAAAAGTCAATGGTGTTTATCACACGCGCATGGCTAAAACACCAACTGGTTTTATTGTAATTCTTTCGAATTCAATGCCCATATGTAAGGATTATTTTTCTTTTGTTTGGACCAAGTCTACTATTGTTTTTTACCTAATTACTTATTCCAATTTTGTCTCTACACATGATAAATGGCTTTAAAGTTATTATTTTTGATTATTAATGCATGTCACTCAAACGTATACACGAATGAATATCCAAACATTAAAAAAGCAATATGAACCCTATCTCGTCAACTTTAGACCATCTTGAATGTAAAACTCCATTTTGTACTCTCAAATGTTTTAAGTTTTTTTGAATCACCACCATTTGTTTTGTTTTTGTGATAGAAGATTTTCAATTAATACCGCCATTTGTCCGAATTATGTATCATCTTTATTCCGCCTCTCAAAATCCTATAGTGGATCGCTCATGCTCAGCTAATTTCAGAAACATTTCCCCACTTGTTTCGTTGGCAAATGATAAACGTCTATATATTTTCTTCTATTATTAGTTGAGCATTAAATGCAAAACTCCATAGTAGGTGAAATATTCGTGTATTTTAATTTGTTTAGGTTTGCAATTATGATGACAGATCATTAAAGTAGATTATGTAATTGGTCTTGTAAACATTTTGTATGGCTATATATAAATTCTGATTTTCTTTTAACGTGTAAAGTCTTTTAAAACACCACTAATTTAAAGTGTTTTTAAACCAAAGTTTCAAAATGTCACTATAGTACATTGAACATACGTATCAAACACAAAGTAGGCCTAAACACAAATTACTTTACATAGACATACATGGGCAAAATCGTAATAAACATCCTCCCCATAATGTATTTTTTTCCTTAGACGAGTGTCCCACCCTTGACGAACTCAGTGAACGCCAACGCGACCAAACCGAGCATCGCGAAACGTCCGTTCCAAAGCTCAGCGTCTGAAGTCATGATACCATCGGATTTGGACTCAGCGGTTATGCCCTTGAAAAGTGGCACAAGCGACGCAAGTGTCAAGATCGCCGTCGTACCGAGGAACCATGAGACGCCACCGTCGGAGATCTGAGCGAAAACGTTTTCACCCTTAGATAGCTCAACAGCCAACGCCGCAACGAATCCAACCATAGCTAAACGTCCGTTAATCCTCTCTGGTGCTGGACCACTGAACGCTAGCAAATCGCTAAACTTCGTGCTCACCTATATTCACCACCCAAAAAATTATTAAGTTATTGACAAAAAGATTCACAATTAAAGCTTGTTCAATGTACTTCAAGAAGATAATTTTTTTCATATCTAATATGCACAATTATTCTGTTTTAAGTCTATAAACAATTTTTTTGCACCAAAATCTATCGTTATTAGTCAAGAGATAAAATCAAATATGTTAAGTGCTGCAAATTTTCTTTTATGATGTGTAAGATATTTAATTATATGAAATGAAAAGAGTATTGAATTGTTTCTAAAATAAAATCAAACATGGGAATGTATTTAAGAACAAATTAATTAAAAAATGATTCTTAGTTACCAAAACTTAAAAAATTCATACCTTAGGTTTAGTAGGAGGAGGAGCCGCGGAGGTAGGTGCAGAGTCTTCGTTTTTGGGCTCTCCCTGCAAAAGTCAAACAATCAGACGGTCAGGATTTTATACTCACATAATGAATAGCCGTTGGCTTAAGGGAAGTGGATGGAGAATAACGTACCTCAGCCATGCATCTCACTCCCACCGGATAGTTCCTCTTGAGGCTAGGGAAGGTTCCGGCGAAGAAAAGCTTGTTGCCGTTGATCTTGCGAGTGGTCAATCCACCAGCAAAGACTGATTGCATGTTGAACGATGCTGTTGCCATTTCTAAAGCTTATTAATACTTGTGTGAGACAAAGAAGAAACTTGGAGTAGCTTAAGTGATTAGCACTTAGGTTATTGAACTTTAAGATGGATCTTTTGTAGAAGCTTGATGTGAGTAACGAAGGATCTCACGTATGTATTTATAGGACGGGGTCATTAGGTCGAGTTGTTTCGTGAACTTTCTTTTAGTTATTTACTTATTTAGCCTTTCGATATTTGACAAGTTAATATGGTTCACACAAAAATAACCAACGGTCAGAAACATAACACATGAATCATAATCATAGTAGTATTTGAAGGTTTACTACGTAACTGAAGGACAAGCCAGCGTTCAAAATTTTTTTACTACAATTTTAATTATGATTTGCTTATATTAAAACTGTTTTAAATGGATTATTTAACACACTCCAAATAGATAGTAACCTAGTTTTTTCCCCCACTAATTATTTAATTGAGTAAATTTAGTGAAGTGTAGAACTATTTCTTGGTTTGTCATACCGTGTTATATACGAGTAGTGAACTAGTGATCAACAAAGTCATTTAGTACATCACGTCGATAAAAAGACAATTCTATGCAAAATTAATGTGCATAGTTCATCTACGTTTCATATACATATGAACTGAAACATGCTAATTATTTTATTTGGACCCTTCAAATTCCAAGATTTTTGGACATACAAATTTATTTGTAAAACTGAATCGTGTATTTGGCCGGTCCAAAACAAAACACGTCGACACAAAAAGTGGAAAAGAGGAAGCTGCGATATTTAAAGGAACCACGTTGCTTAGATTGTCCCCACGCGTAACATAAACTTAACTTTTGAAGGACAAAGAACAAAGTCCATGACGCGGCCTCCTCCTTCGTCACCGCTTCTTCTCACTTTTTTGCCAAGTGGTATTGGTTAAAAACGTAAAAAAGATTCTCTCCATCTCCCAAAAACATGTGGCTCAAAACAAAGCTTAACATTACTTTCGTTTGTAGAAGATTTTACATTCATTACACATCTCTTTTTGCTTTTGGAACTTAGCTAAGTTTGGATCCAGACAGGCCCATACTTGGTCCGTCCGAGTCCGTGACTGTTCTCTCTTTGTCTCTTTCTACGTGGCCGATCTTAGCTCCGTCAGTTTTTTTTATGGTCGTTTCAAAATTTTAATAACTTTACAATGTAAGGAGATAAAGAAGTAATCAAACATGAGTTCGATTCTCTCTGAAAACAAAAAACACATTTGTTTGGAAAGTCTGTCAGTTGGCCCAATTAGTTTACCTAGTAGCCAGAAATTCAAGCGGTCTGACTCCCCCTGGCATTAGTCGGAAGACACTCCAAACTCGGATCAGGCAGTGTGGTGGCCCAATTCTGGATCTCATGGCCCGTTCGACCCGAGTCTGCTCGGAGCTCATGGTGTCCGTTGAATCGTTGAACCGTTGAACCGTGGGAGAAGTCCACTCTATAGCACCTCGGTGCGTTCCTACCGAAGTTGGCCGGATCAACCGATAGAATTTATCAAAAAAAAAAAAAAAAGTAATCAAGATTTTAAAGGTCCCAAGTTATATCTCTCCCAATGAATTAAGAAATTTGTCAATGTTAATGTTAAAATTTGAGGCCTGAAATTGAACATAATAACAATGTAGTTCTTTCGAATAAATTTAAATTGGACCCCATTTTATTTTTACAATTTTGGAGGTCTTATTGAATGTTGAGTGGTCTGATAAATATTAATTATTTACTCGTACGTATTATTTAACTCAAGCCTTGCTAAACCTCATAACGGGCCATGGAGGGCTCATTAGGCCCATAACATTCTAGTTCTCCTAATGTCTTTTGCCAAATCTCAGTTTACCAAATCTCCCCAAATTGACATTCTGATCAGTTTAGTTTTTTTTTTCTTTCTTTTCTTTTCAAGAATGTGAAAATGTAAATATTTCATTGAAAATAAACAAAGTTTAGAAATACAATAAAAGATTATAAACCTATATAACAAACAGTCCTATGATAATATATATATATATATATATATATATATATATATATATATATATATATGGAAGCATATTAATGGAAATTCTGAATTCAGTCCATACGTAAGCACCAAAGCAAACAGAGGTAGTTAGGTAGATGAAGTAATAACATACTAGATCAAACGTGCGGGGTTTTTGTACCATACGATTTTCTAGTATAAAATTTATGACATCTAGGTTTCGAATGTGTGTATCAGTTTGAATTTGTTATGACTATTTAAAATAGATTTATGTAACAAATTACCGGATTGAATATATTAGTATTGAGAACTGATCAAATCGTTCGAGACATATGTATTCCGGTATATTTTGTATAAAAATAGTTGGGTATTACAAAACATTACCTTGTTAAATTAAATTTTTTTTGTAACATAATTTCTGTGTTTAGTAATTAGTATAGTAAGGAAAAAATATCAAATCTATACTATTAATTTTTTTATATTGATACAACTCTATACTATTAATTTATAATGATTAATATCAATTTTACACTAACATGGTCACATTTTGTTTTTTTTTCTTGGTCCAAATTCAAGATATTTGTCGTAATGGGCCATATACATTCATCATAAATATTTGTGTTGGGCCGTAAAACACACAAATATTGGTCCTGACATTATTTCATATTATGTTTTTTTTTATCTGGGAAGATACTCCTTTTTGTTCTTTGTCTGAAACCTTCAACAATTTTCCAATCTGAGAAAATAATCTTTGTCGGCCGATCGACGAAGCTGTATCGAAATCCATCCGAAATCCACTTCCATCGTCTTCGCTTATACATCAATTCTTTGCAAATTATAAGATCTTAAAAGAGGTAAGCTTTTCTTCTCTTTGATTTTTGTTTGAACTTTTTTGGAATCTGTCGATTGGGTTTCTACCATAGATTTTTTCTTGTTTCATTATAGATCTTATACAACGATTGTGAATAACCCTTCAAAAATTTGATTAATTATTACCTTTTTCATATCTAATTGCATGCAATTTTTTTACATGTTTCGTTTTGTTTAAACATGTTAGTTAGTCAATCAATCTGTTTCTTCTCAAAATTCATAGTGTTAATAGACTAAATCTAATCAATTTCAGTATATCTTTTAAGCTGTAAATCTATAATCTTTTTTTTTTGTTTTTATACTTGTTTCAGATTAGTAGCCATATTTCGATGGTTTCTCAAAAGAAGAAGAATAACGAAGATAAGTTTTTTTATCCAGATTATTGTATAACTTGAGCACTTTATTGCAAAATGCTCCTGCTTCATTATTCTTTAGCTGAATGTTAGATTCATGATACAAAGTTCAATGTTTGCAGGCGAAGTACAATTTTGCGCACATAATTCTTATGGAGCTGAAGCAGTAACAGTTCAATTTGGAGCATTCTTGAAATATAATTTGGTAGAATCCGTTTAATTTTAAACGGCAATGTTTCTTAGTCTTTAGAATGATTTATATGGTTGTACTAATGAAACTTTGATAACTGTTAAAAATCTGCAGACAAATGATCGGTTTGAAGTTGGATTCTTAAGGAGGGAAGAGATTTGGTGTTGTAATTGGAGGTTTTCAGAGATCTATATTTAAAAGGTTAGTAAGATATTAAACATAACACTTTTGATTAGGTGATAACAATATAGACCTACTCTATTGATTTCCAAATTTGGTTGAATAAGTGTAGATAAAATACTTACAAATTAATTATGTCAGAAATTTTAAAAAGTAATTTCGTTTCTTGTGATGCTGTTGGAGCTTTATTCTGCATTTGTTTGTTAATAGAAGTAGTAAGTTGTGAGATTTTCTATATTATAATTGATCGGACTGTTTGGTTAGCAATAATTGAAAGTGCAGATCTTGCTGGAACAAGAAACGGTCTGTTGGAACAAGTTTGGGATTGCTTGGTTGGTGCTGACGTGGCTCGTGGAGTTGAAGATAAATATCAGAAAGATATTAGAGAGATCAAATCAGAAGAAACGTGCAATTGAAGATATTCTTGGAGAAGAATATTATTGAAGATTTGTTTCTTTTATTTAGAAGAGGATATTTTCCTTTTGTATCGGGATAAAATCTAGGGTGACATATCTCATAGGTATATGGGTATATATACTAGGGAGATGTGTGTTGCTAGGGCTAGCCGAAAAGAGAGAGAGAAAAATGAATTGCTCTGTTTCGGTGCTTTTGTAGGCAAGTCGAGCTGCTTGCTGGAACACAGGTTTAGTTGTTCTAATACTGGGTGTAACTAGATATTGTTTGGTGTCGAACTAAGAGGTTTTTAGTGTCGTGTAATTCCAGTTAGGCAAGGTCTTGTTGTAAAGATTGTCTAAGTGAATCTAGTTATTGTTTTGAGGACGTAGGCACGTTGCCGAACCTCGTTAATTCTCGTGTGCCTTATCTATCTCTGCTTTTTCAATTGGTATCAGAGCGGACATCTGTAAAGAGTCTGACTCCACAAACGGGTGAGGATCCTGAGGAAAGAGATGGATGATATATTTCGAGAATGGTTGGCAGTTAAAAGTCTTGCGTTAGATGCTGAAAACTATGGATATTGGAAGGTGAATATGAAGGCAATCATACAAGGTATTGATGAGGATGCTTGGACGGCTGTGGAAGATGGCTATGAAGTCCCAAAAATTGAAGAAAGAGACGGTTCTATTGTCACTAAACCAAAGGCTAAATGGACAAAGAATGAGAAGACTATGTCAAGGTATAATGCAAAAGCTTTATCTACTATTTTTACCTCGGTTAACAAGAATCAATTCAAGTTGATTCAAGGGTGTGAATCAGCCAAAGAAGCGTGGGATAAGCTAGAAAAAGTTTTTGAAGGAACAAAAAGTGTGAAGATATCAAGAATTGACAGGCTAGCTTCTCAATTTGAGAATCTACGAATGGATGAGCACGAAAATGTTACAGATTTTAGTGCTAAGCTGTGTGCGATTGCTAATGAAGCACATGTGATTGGGAAGACGTACAAAGACAAGAAGCTTGTCAAGAAGTTGATGCAATGTTTGCCTAAGAGATTCGAGGCACAAAAGGCGGCTATGGAAACTGCTTTTAACACGGATGAGACCCCATTTGATGAAATAGTTGGGAGACTACAAGCGTATGAGATGGACCAACAGGATGTCATTTCAAATAGTGTCAATAGACCAACTCTATATGAGAATGATGACAAGTTGAGAATACAAAATTTAGAAGAATCTATGAGCTCACTTGTGAAGATGTTTGGGAAACTTCTTAAAGACGTTGGAAAAAGGGGTAAGAACTCTTTGGAAAATGATCATGGCACATACAAAAATGTGGGAGAAGGAAGACGTGGTATACAGTGCCATGAATGTAGAGGATTTGGACACATCAAGTCTGCATGTCCGAGTATCAAGAAGAAGAAAAAGGTTCGTTGCTTAGGATGTAACGGTTATGGACATACAAAATCTGAGTGTGTCGACGGTGTGAAGATAAAAAGAAATATCTATGAAGACTCTAGTGAGAGTGAAACATATGATGAAGAGGAGTTAGCCAACTTCGTGGCATTACCTTCATTCGTGGAGCACAAAGAAGGAAGCGAAATATCTGATTCTATATCAACTGCTGAAACAAGTAGCGAATACTCCAACACAAGCAGCGATTTAGAAAGCGATCAAGAGGTGGATCTTCAAGCTGAATTCAAAAGTCTTTATGAGAGTTGGGTTAAGAAAAGTAAAGACTACATGGTACTAATCGATGAGAAGATGTTGATGGAAAGTAAGATGAAGAATATCGAGAAAGAGCTAACTCTTGAGAAAGAAGAATCAGAGAAATTGAAAATCAAGCTTGCTGAAAATCAAAAGTGTTCTTGTGCTTTGAAGAATGAAGATCATGAAGTTGTTCATATGCTAAACGTGAAGGAGGAACTTGCAGCAGAAAAAGAAAAATCCAAACGGTTGGAGGATGAACTCATGCAGAATGAAAAGTACTTGAGGATGTTGAATAATGGAACAAAGAACCTAGATCAAATACTAAGCATGGGAAGAACAGAGAAAACAAGATTTGGTCTTGGTTATCAAGGAGGTACATCTGATTCAAAGACTATTTTTGTTCAAGAGAATCTGTCGAAATCTGCTGGAACAAGGGAAAACCTGTTGGAGACGACCGCAAAAAGTCTCATCATAACTCCGATGGATGAGCATAATGTACAAGTCAAAAGTACCAGTCCATGTATTTATGATGAGAAGAAGATGAGTTATGTTCGTGGATGCAACAAAAGTTCATCAAATTTAAGAACATGTGTTGTTAGCTGGAACAAGCTGAATTCTGTTGGAACTGAAACCCAGAAGAGTCACCAAAAAGTGTTTTGTACTTCAGGATGCTTTTATTGTGGAAAGAAAGGGCATATCAAGGCCTACTGCTATAAGTTCCTTGACAAGATTAGATGTGCATTAAAGCAAAAGAAGTTTGTTCAAGATTCAAGGAGATTTCAAAAGGTTTGGATTAAGAAGATGGATTTGTATGGTGATGTGTCTCATAAGTCATCAACCAATACTCCAAGGAAGATGATGTGCTGCACATGTAGGTGTTTGAAGCACATGTCAAATGATCAAGCAAAGTTTGCGAAGAAAAAGTTCAGATTTAGAAATGAGAGTTATTGGAGAGATCCAAGTGGAAGACGATTCTGATCGAGGAGAATATTCCAGCAAGTATTTTTTTTAACAAAGTTTTATCACTCAAGCAGGGGGAGAATGTAGAAGATCCATGGAGAGTAGAAGATCCATGGAGAGTTAATTATCACAGTGATATATGATTAAGGGGGAGTTTGTATATCATGATGTCTTGCTGGGGATGCGTGATAATTATGGTGAGCTTGAGTTGTAAAACTCAGTTAAAAAGGGGGAGAATGAAAGTGCAGATCTTGCTGGAACAAGAAACGGTCTGTTGAAACAAGTTTTGGATTGCTTGGTTGGTGCTGACGTGGCTCGTGGAGTTGAAGATAAATATCAGAAAGATATTTAGAGAGATCAAATCAGAAGAAACGTGCAATTGAAGATATTCTTGGAGAAGAATATTATTGAAGATTTGTTTCTTTTATTTAGAAGAGGATATTTTCCTTTTGTATCGGGATAAAATCTAGGGTGACATATCTCATAGGTATATGGGTATATATACTAGGGAGATGTGTGTTGCTAGGGCTAGCCGAAAAGAGAGAGAGAAAAATGAATTGCTCTGTTTCGGTGCTTTTGTAGGCAAGTCGAGCTGCTTGCTGGAACACAGGTTTAGTTGTTCTAATACTGGGTGTAACTAGATATTGTTTGGTGTCGAACTAAGAGGTTCTTAGTGTCGTGTAATTCCAGTTAGGCAAGGTCTTGTTGTAAAGATTGTCTAAGTGAATCTAGTTATTGTTTTGAGGACGTAGGCACGTTGCCGAACCTCGTTAATTCTCGTGTGCCTTATCTATCTCTGCTTTTTCAATAATAACCATTATTACTTATAAATAGGAAATAGTTAACTTCATATTACTGAATATGAAGGTATTAGGACAAAAAACTTTTGAAAAACAAAGTTAAGCTGTTATAAGCTAGATATGTCTTCGAATTCATGTAAAAAGAAAACATGAAAATAACAGAAACAGTAGGGTTGGGATCAGTTCTTCTCTTGAAACTTCAATCACTGATTCCTTTATTTGCCAAACACACGTTTTCATACCTTGTTTGACCTGCTCAGACATAAAGAAATCAGAAACTCGTATAGTATAACAGATATATATAAGAATCATTTCATATTGGTTCTTACCTCTGTGAACAAATGTCTCTTCCAACGCTTAGTCTTATAGGTTCTGGAAAACTTCCTTAAACACCACATTCATCGTTTCCTTCTGCGGTTTGCCTTCTTTATCCACTATTAGGATCTTCAGTCCTTTCTTTGAAGTTACCCTTGAGATAGCCACATATAGTTGGCCATGTGAAAAGCATGGCCTTGAGGTATATTATAAGTTTTTTTCACAAACTTACTTATTCACAAATTCTTGGACAGCAGGATAGTTTGGATTTATTTCCAACAAAGACATGTTGAAGGCATTTGAAATAGATCTTTCACCTGATAAATTTGCAATATATTAGTAATATATACTAATAATATAAACATATTAAGCATCCACACGTCCAAAAACCTAATCAATATACCTTTGAATGTACCAATTTTAGCAAGGCGAATCAAACAAATGACCCTTTCATTGCTTCCATTTTGACATGCATCCCACATTCTCTCAGCAAATCTCCCCCAAAGAGTACATGTCAAGCGTTCATCACTATAATAGACAAATGACAGACTTTGTATTTTAAAAATAGACAGTTGTTTGTAAAAATTAAAAGAGTAAATAGATTACAAACTTTGTATCACGCAGCTCAAACTCAAATCTTTTGGTGGCTTTGTTGTTGACATCGTGAGTTGTCATCTCACCTAAACTCACGACCTGACCAAGAACATCTGTAAATATATGAAATGATGTTAGTTTGTTATTTTCTTAAGATTTAAACACTATAGAAAGAAATAGGCAGAATGGAAAATACCAATCAAAATGTTTTCATTCAATCCATTAACATTCAGAATGTCAGGAAAGTTAGCAAAATCAAAGTAAAGGTCATCAGAAATTGAGGGAATACGACTTATAGCAGTCGTATTCATGAGGGTCATCTTGAATGGGAGGCTGGTAGGCCGGTACTTTCCAGTAGATTTTGCAACTGTAAAATTTTCCACAGTTCTCCACTCTCCAGTTGTGATAAGCTTTTGAAACTTGTTGACTTGTTGTTTCTTGACAGTTGCATGAATCAAGGTACCCTGTATTTAGCAAAAAAAGATAATTAAACATTTTATTTACAAATAATCATTAGAAGAGTAAATCTATATTATTGATAAATCGTAAATTACAGATGTATCAGCAAGAATCATCTCGACAGTCTCCCCGGAGTATTGGGTGTATTGAGTCCATGAATGGACGATTTTCACTTGGATCTTCCATTGAGTCTTGAATGGTTTGACTGCATTAAGTTCTGTGATGGGAAGAGCCATTGTTTGAGAGGTATGCTTTGAGTTTGATAGCTTAGTGTGTATTGAGAATGTCGTTTGATTTCTATATTTATAAGAGATGGAGAAAGTATAGGGTTGCTTAGGGTTTAGAAAATTCCCGTCTAAGAGAAGATTTGAAAATAAGAATAGTTAAGGTATATGCTTAATTTATTCGGATATGAAGATATAGAGTTTGTTATTATTGGCTAAAGTAATAACAAATCAAGGAAATCGAATATTAAGAGATAAGTTTTCTTTAAATCATCTAAATATATGGGATTGAGTTGTTATTGAAATATCGGTTTAGTTAATTAGTAAATATAGATTTGTTTGTTATGAAAAATATCTTTAGTAATCACGAATCTAATATTATGTTTTGAATTAATGCAGATCTACTAAATGCGAAATATCGGTTTAGTTAATTAGTAAATATAGATTTGTTTGTTATGGAAAATATCTTTAGTAATCACGAATCTAATATTATGTTTTGAATTAATGCAGATCTACTAAATGCGAGAGAAATATAAAGGCCCAACATCGACTAAGCCCAGTAAGCTCATTATGCACTTCTGGATAGAGATCCGACTGCTGGCTCCAAGATCCGCTGGTAATGGATCCAAGATCCGCGTGTAATTGGCCTTAAAATTGTCCATTATACCCTCTGACGATTTCTGTTTTTTAGTCGTTGGTTTTAAATTTTCCAATGGCATTGTAATTTTTTACACTTTATAGTAAAGATTACATATGAAAGAATTTTCATTCTCAAATCTCAAAGACTCAACCTAAATTTTTTTGGAAAGATTAGTTTTACATGGGAACACAAAGAAAGGAAATATGATTCTATAGATTTTGTTCCTAAAACCAATGATTTCTTAGCATATAAGTACTTTGACATTGTTGACCAAAAAAAAAAAACTACTTTGAAATTATGATTCATACATAAAAGTAAATTTTTTTTTTTTATCACACATCCAATAGCGTATATAAAAAACTGAAAATTACCTAGTTTGACTCAAATCTAGAGAAAAATAACTAGATTGACATCCAAATATTGTGGTTTACTAGAATAGCACAATTTTTGTGTTAAAAGACCAAATACCCATTTTATTTTCAATTCTATTAAAATATATAATTAACATATAATAATTAAATTAAATCGAAAATTAAAAAATACAAAAAATATAAAACAAAAATTGAAAAAAAATACGAAAACAAATATATATAAATTGAAAAAAACATAAAAAAGAAAAAACGAAAAAAAAACAAATACCCACTTTATTTTCAATTCAATTAAAATAAAATAATTAACATATAATAACTAAATTAAATAGAAAATTTAAAAAATACAAAACAACAAGAAAATATAAAATGAAAAAAAAATACAGAACAAAAAAAATTAAAAAAAAAAACGAAAAAAATAAATTAAAAAGAAAAAAAAAATATAAAAAACGAAAAAATTTATCTTTATCATATATTAACAAGGAGACAACCACACATGAGCCATCTATTATAAATAAGTCTGTCGCGATAAGAATATGTCTGTCATTACTTTATTGTGCAGATTAAAAATCTATATATTTTCATCAATAAAACTGTCATCATACGACATATTTTTTTATAATCTATATGAAATTTGTCGTAATAATATAAAAAAAATCTGTCATAACATAAAACATTTTGGTTGTGAGTATATGTCATTCTAGCAATTTATATTTTTATATAACAAATCTGCTATCACATTCCAGATTTTTGTTAAGAAAAAAAAAACTGTCATAACATAAAATAAATCTGTTATCACTAATAAGTCAAACTAGTAATTTTTTTTTTATTAACAGATCTGCTACATTATGACAGATTTTTATCGAAAAATATAAGTCTAACGCTACTAAAACAATAAATCTGCCACACATTTTAATAAATCTGTCAAAATTACGAAAGTTTGTGGTGTCATCATAAAATAACTCTGTCGTGAGAAAAAAATCTGCTACAAATTAAATATCTGTCGTAACCTATTTTAAGTAAGTCTGTGGGAGAAAAAAAATCTGTCACAAAAAATCTGCTATAGAAAAATAAGTCTGTCATGGAAAATAAACCTGTCACAAGTAACCCAACAGATTTTTCAAATAATTTTTTTTTCCAAATATTTTTTCTCCTCGTTTTTTAAATATATTTAAGGGTAATTTTGACATTTTTTTTATTTCTAACAAAGAGATAAAGGGTATTATGGTCATGAAAATAACTCATTTAACCCCCAATTTTTTTGAGACATTATAGTAATTAAACTCATAATTTGGGTTAATCTAGTAACTTTCCCTATAAAAAATTCCAAAATATACATCAACAAAAAAAAACTCAAAATAGACAAAGAAAACAGATTTTTTAAAATTTTTTTTGTAAAAGTAAAACTAACATCACTGATTTTAGTGTAATCAAACCAAACATTTTTTAATTAAAGTTTTATCAATTTAAAGTTAAAGGGAATATTGTTAAAATGGGCATTATTTGGCCCAAAACTTTCAAAAATGGAATGTCTTCCAGGCCTTATGAATTTAGGCATTTTGGGGCCAGGGGAAAAGACTGTTTTGTCCCTCTGTATCTTCTCCTTCCTTCTGACGACAACCATGGCTTTCTCCTTCCTTTGGATTCATCTCCCAACAACTCTCGCTTTCCAGGCCATAAACCTCGCTTCTCAACACCTCCACCGCCAACACCATCTCCATCCGTCGTCAACAAGATCTTTGATTCGAAACACAAAACCTCTCCGTCGCCCATACCATCTTAGATCCGATGATTTCAGTGGATTCAATTAATTTCGTTTTGAATCAAGGAAGCTAAACCCTATGGGGAATCTAGTAAACCCAAGGGCTCCAATCTAAACCATCAATCGAATCAAAACTTCCAATTCTATTTTAAATCTAAACAAAATTAGGTATCGGATCTCATCATCTCATCATCGTGACCAACATCTTGTTCACCATATATAACTCATCATTCTCATCACATCTCAACATCTTCACCACCATCTCCTTTACCGGATCTCATCACCACCACCATCGCAAATCATCGTCATTCGTCGACGGAAGATTTTTTTTCTTTTTCTTTCAGCCCATATTGGTGAGGATAATAACGTCATTTTGCTACGCTGTGAAATGGTTAAAACTGAATGCTTGGTAATCTGACCTAAATCGATAATTTTTGGTGGAATAAATGCCAACCCGGTAATTGATTCAAAGTTAAATTAAAAATTAGTGATATCTTCTCAAACTCTTGAAAGTTATAAAGACCAAAAGCCGACCAATAAAATCTCCCCATGTCGTCATAAACCGGTTTTAATTTCCGGTTTGGTCATCTAAAGCGCAATAAAATCCTCTCTGTCTTCTTCTTCCTCTACTCGGCGAATTTTCTCGAGAAAAATTAAACTGAAATTTTCTGATCGAAGATCTAAAAAAGAAGATGGAGAGAAGACAAGCGAAGATCCATGTCTTTGTATTGATTGGTTTGATTCTATTGAATTCGATCAATCAAATCTCGTCGCTCTCTGTAACAGTTAACGACGAAGAATGTGTCCAAGAATACGTCCTTTACGAAGGCGACACTGTTTCCGGTAACTTCGTCGTCGTCGATCATGATATATTCTGGGGATCAGATCATCCTGGTTTGGATTTCACGGTTAGAGATCTTTCAATTTACTTTTTCCCCCAAAAGTTCTTACCTTTGATACGTTTTCCTTCGATAATCCCAATGTTTTGAAATTTCGTCAAATTGATCGAATTTGGTGATTCTCATGCTTAATTTTGCCCTGATCTGATGTTAAGGAATTAGGGTTTTCTTAGATTGTGGTGGGTTTGATTGGAATTGTGGAAAGTTGTTATCTTTCATTGGATTTTGGTTTGGGTAATGTGTTGATTGATTCATTGGATTGTGTTTGTTGTGTAGGTGACGTCTCCAGCTGGGAACATTGTACAAACTTTAAAGGGAACATCTGGAGATAAGTTTGAGTTTAAGGCTCCAAGAAGTGGAATGTATAAATTTTGTTTCCACAATCCTTATTCTACTCCTGAAACTGTCTCCTTTTATATTCATGTTGGCCATATTCCCAATGAGCATGACTTAGCCAAAGATGGTTTGTTTCCTTTCCCTTATATTTGATCATTTTCATTGATGGTATTGGAATGTGCTTAGTGATTGGTTTCTGTATCTTGTGCATTGAGTTTGAGCTGTTTTGTGATGTTATGTTCCTCGTCTTTTGTTGTGTGGTTCTTAGAACATTTGGACCCGGTAAATGTTAAGATAGCTGAGTTGAGAGAGGCTTTGGAATCTGTTGTTGCTGAGCAGAAGTATTTGAAAGCACGTGATACTCGTCACCGTCATAGTAAGTTTTCTCCATTCGTTTTCCAAGCCTCATTTTCCTTGATCAATGATCACCCGAGTAACTTGCTTAGACGCAGTATAATAATATAATGAATTTGGAACGGACATATGTTTCTTGAATAGAGAGAGATCTTTGAATGTCGAAAGATACAACCTTTATACGATCTAACATTGCTTTGTGTGATGAATCTTTGGTTGCAGCGAATGAAAGCACGAGAAAGCGTGTGATATTGTACACAGTAGGAGAGTACATATTCCTTGCAGCAGCTAGTGGACTTCAAGTTCTCTACATCCGCAAGCTCTTTAGCAAGTCGGTCGCATACAACAGAGTTTGAACATAACAAAACATCAGCAAGGTCTTATGTCCTTTTATGTTTGGCTTGGTGAACGAATCAAAACACAAATCTTAAACAGTGTTAGTTAACTTAAAAGCTTTAATAGCGAAAGACTCCCTTTTTGTTTTTGGTTTCTACACTTTTCTTTGGCTTCAATTTACTTATGCAGAACTTGATAAAGCTTATTTCTGATTCATTGATTAGTGATTATCATTAACTTTTTATTAGCATAGACAAATTGTTATGAGATCCAACCTTATAGACAAATCCCAACTATTGTATTTTGGGTTTAATTGTCATTATGATACCTAATAAAACCACCACTAAAATAATATACAAATATCTGCAAATCGTGGAGGAGAAGAAAAATCGAATAATTCTATGATTCTCTCTAACCAAGAAACGAAAAAGTCGTATTGAAGTATTGCCATTTGTTTATAAAATAAGGGTGTCACAAAGAAGTGGCTGTTCAACGATTCTAAAGTCATTTACTTTACCATTGATCTATTGCTCTGTTTCACTGTTGCGTGATCGGGAAGAAGAAAAATGTTGGCGATTTTCGACAAGAACGTTGCGAAAACACCCGAGGCTCTGCAGAGTCAAGAAGGTGGATCTGTTTGTGCTCTTAAAGATAGGTTCTTGCCGAACCATTTCTCCTCTGTTTATCCTGACGCTGTCACCATCAATCTTGGATCTTCTGGTTTCATCGCTTGCTCTCTCGAGAAACAGAACCCTCTTCTTCCCAGGTTTTTGTTAATTAGTTTATTCCTCACGATGATGTTTTCTTGTTCTGTCCTGATATGATAGATTTGCCATCTTGATGATCACTGGCCTGCAAAGGTTATTATTTTAGGATTATGTTTCGATTATCTTGTTTTCGTTCAATGAATCTGAGAGATTGAGACATTGATCTGTTGTTTTGTTTTGATGTAATAACAAAGGATGTTTTCAATACAATTTTGTCTGTGTGACAGATTGTTTGCTGTGGTGGATGATATGTTCTGCATTTTCCAAGGACATATAGAGAACGTTCCAATTCTTAAGCAACAATATGGACTAACCAAAACAGCTACAGAGGTTACCATTGTGATTGAAGCCTACAGAACTCTAAGAGATCGTGGTCCGTATTCTGCTGACCAAGTTGTTAGAGATTTTCAAGGCAAATTCGCGTTTATGCTCTATGACTGCTCCACACAAAATGTCTTCCTTGCTGGGGTGAGTTTGAATTTTGCTTCTTTACCATTTATTGTCTCTGGATTTTGTAATGCTGAGGTTAGTTATTATTATGCGCGGTGCAGGATGTAGATGGGAGTGTTCCTCTCTACTGGGGTACCGATGCTGAAGGCCATCTCGTTGTTTCTGATGATGTTGAGACTGTGAAGAAAGGTTGTGGTAGATCCTTTGCGCCATTCCCTAAAGGTATGTAGCAAGCCGTTTTTCGGGTTTTGAAGATACTATCTCATTGTTCTTTGATCTAGTGCAAATATGAATTAGGATGTGGTTCTGTGTATGCATACTGCAGGATGTTTCTTTACCTCATCTGGAGGTTTGAGGAGCTATGAGCATCCATCAAACGAGTTAAAGCCGGTACCAAGGGTAGACAGTTCGGGTGAGGTGTGCGGTGTAACTTTTAAAGTGGATTCCGAGGCCAAGAAAGAAGCGATGCCTAGGGTTGGGAGTGTCCAGAATTGGTCTAAACAAATCTGAGGCTAATATGTTGAACTAGCTGAAAAAAGCTTGTTTGGTTTTTTTACTTGTTGGACTTATGTGGCTGTGTTCCACAGATTTACTCTTTTCATGATAATCTCACTGTAGCCATTCTAAGGACTAATGGTGGTCTTATTGCTCTGTACCTGTACTTGGTAACAAGGAAGCTAAGAATAAAATATTTTATAAACGTCTAATGATTCAGTGTATGCATATGATGTCATATTGATAAAACCAGAGCTGCAAGAACATGAGCTCCAATGTAGCAATTGCTAAACAACCTTTGGTAACGAAACAAAACATAAAACTGTAATGAAAAATAATGAAAGGTCTTAGACTCTTAGTAAGAGCCTAAGGTTAACACTGCCTGCAGATTTCTCTTTACGCAGAAACGCCTCGGGTAAGACTTGAGCCATCCATTTGCAGACCTCTGTTTCCTGATGCTGCTGCTGCATAGTCCTGACTGTTGTCCCTCCTCCTTGAACTCATATCAAGACCAGCACCACCATTTCTAGACTCCATTGCACTTTCGTTGCTTTCTGCTAAAGTAGAGAGCTTTTCGGTTATCTGAAAAGCCAAAGATTGTAATCTGTTATGTTGCACTTCATGGAAGATGATGCACTGAGTTGGCTGGTCCCATTTTGCAGTAAGCTCCTCGTTGATCATCATCTTGCTCACAATGCTATGGACCTGTGACTCAGAGATGTCAAACATTTTGGCTAGCTCATCAAGACTTAATGACTTATAGTAGGAGCTTGAGTATGTGAATAGATAAGTCCTTAGAGCCACTTCCTTGATCCTAGCTTTCACCATATTGAGGACGCTGTCGCGGTTCTTGAACAGTCTCCAGACATCAAGAGAGTTCAAAACTGAAAACGCTTCTTGGAATTTCCCTTTGGTCAAGGCTCTGGTTGCTGCCATGACATGGTCACGTATAGTTTCAGGCGGTGCAGTGAACGCTTGCCTCTCACTGATCTCGAGCAGGCGACAAATATTCTTGCTAACCGATTTGTGTTTGGCATCATGCGAGTTTGCTGCCATGTTTGGGACTTCAAGTAGCATGGCACAAGTAAGATAAACAGCCTCCAAGAGCTCGAGGTTTATGTGCATGTGGTACGGTATTTGTCTTCTCCTCTCCATTAGAATCTATATTAAAAAACAGAGAAATTAGACTCTAAGAAATTGTAACAGAAGATAATATGTACTATAAAGCTCAATATTTACCTGCTCTGTTGTCTTCTCGTGGTCTCGATTTTTCGAGACACCTTGGCCGAGAAACTCCCTCACTCTATGACCAGAGTACAGCTCAGAGAGGCAGCTATGTGACTCATTTATCATTCCAACCCGAAAGGCGCAAAGACCAAGTTGTGCCATTGTCCTGTTAAAGAGAATCTGTGTTGAAATGTCCATGTGTTGAATGTTGTCTTGTAGATGACTCATCAACAACAAGTCTCTAGCAGTCACAAAGTTATCCATTAAAGCATGTTGATAGATATCACATAGCATTGCTCTGGATTTGGCCCTTTCATCTCCATTTGTGTAGATAAAGGATATGAGTGTATCCATCATAGCGCGGCTGCTCCCTGCGAAGGTAGGCTTACGAGGAACAATCTGTGAAGTAGGTCCACTTTCTTTGCCCTCCTCAATTTCTTCATCAGCCATTTTCTTCATAGCATCAAAAACTTCTTGAGGCTTGTAATAGATTGACTCAACTAGTATTAAGGCTACCTTTGAAGCACCTTTGTAATCGCCGCTCCGCTCCAAGTAGTCTTGGATTTTCTGAGCAAGAGCCAAGAACATAGGCTCATCTTTCAATCTCTCTACATACTCATTGGTGTGAGGATCTATGCACTGCAAACCCTTGAAAAACTCTGTCTCAATCCTCTCTAAGAATGCAACCAAATTCCCCGAGACACGAATTGTTCCATCGTAATCCACTGGCTTTGAAGTTTCCTTCTCATCAGGTTCAGCGGTATCATCCACAACATTAATGTTATAGTACTTGACAATAATGTCAAGTATGGTAAGCATGTTAACCACACATTTCTTCCAGACATCGATAGGCATGTATTCGCTGAGACCACCAAACTCTGCTGAAATAACGCTAAACAAGATTTCAAGCTTCTGTGCAGGAGTCTTGGCAATCTTTGTCAAGTCCATAAGCTTATCCGCGTGAGTCTCGCCAGTTTTGAGTTTAAGTCTAGCACTTCTTCTTTTACTCCCACGAGCAGCCATAATTTCTTTGAACTTCTTGTTGACCATGTTCCAAGTTATCACTTCATGATCTAAACTAAACAACATCTCCCAAGAAACATTATCATCAGTAGATTCCTCCACCTCCTCTTCATACTCATCATCGTCCTCGATATCTGGAGACTCCCTAAACCTATTGATATCTTCTTGGTACTGCATATTGTTCTTCTTCAGTTTCTGTCTCATTGAGTTAAAAGCCTTGGAGTTACTAGTACTCATCTTTCTTACTTTATCTTCATTCAAGAAATCTTCCAACAACACAAGGGTTTTGATATACAAAGTCGGCGCCTTCACAGACTTAGTAATCGTCAGAACTCTCTCAAGATGTTTGTTGAGTTTCTCAAACGTTTCTTGCAAGTAAACACAATCATTGATGTTCATGGCATGCTTCATATTCTCTATAGTGTTGGTCATCTCCTCAAAACATTTATCTTTTCTTGGTTTAACCACACGTTTTGTATCCATACAACAACAAAACTCACCGTCAGGTAAGTCTGCAAGGTAACGAATGTTGTTACTCTCAACCTCTTTTTCAAAATCACTCTCATCTTCACTTTCACTTCCACCCTGTAAACGATACATAAGATAAGCAAAGAAAAATCATTAAGAAACTGTAAAATACAAAAAAAAAAAAAAAAAAAGGTTTTGACAAGTAAACAAAGGTCTATGGAAGGAAACCTGAGCGAAAAAACGAGAAGTTGTCGTCATCTTCGTTAAGCAACAACAAGAATCTGAGAGACGATGTCACAAAATATAGATGAAGAACAAAAAGTTTGATCCTAAAATTTGTCAAAGGAAAGATGAAGAAGAATGAAATTACCTTTGATTGAGACGATGAAGATGCTTGACCGAGAGAATAACGAAAGAGAGGCGAATTAGGGTTTAGCGTAAAAAACTAAGAAAATTGGCAACAGTGAAATTAAAAAAGTAAAATAAATCAAGGGCGGTGATAGTTTTCCTAATTAAAAAAAAAAAAAAACTATCGTCATCGGTTATCAGTTTAAACCACCAATTAATTAATTACTAAAAGCTAACCGGTTTTAATCTACAAACCGAATACAAAAATGTAAACCTACTTCGTTCTTTCTTAATTTAGGGTTTATGTGTATATATTTACACATCCCGCGACCGGGAGAGATTTTTCAGAGGAAGAGAAAAGGTTTGCTGAAACAATGACGTTGACGATCTCCGATCTTCCAAGGGATCTGCTAGAGAAGGAAATATTCTCAAGAATACCGTTGAAATATGTGAGAGCATTGCGATTAACCTGCAAAGAGTGGGAAACTTTAATCAAAAGTCGGAGCTTAACGATCGACGAAGAGGAGTCTCAGATGATCGTGTTGATGGATTACAATCTTTGTTTAATGAGCATATCCATGAATGGAGGAGAACCATCTACAGAGATTAGAGGTAAACTTACTTGCCTTGACGAACAAGTCAAGATATCTCAATTCTTTCATTGCGAGGGTTTATTGTTATGCATCTTGAAAGACGATACTAAGGTTGTGGTTTGGAATCCATATTGGGGGCAAACAAGGATGATCCAACCCAGATTTTCACACAGGCCAGGCGGAACGGACTGGATCAATTATGCTCTCGGATACTACGAGAATAATAGTAAGATGAAATCCTGTAAATTCTTGAGGTTTTTAGATTATTTTTACTATATCCCAGCCCCCACCAAAGAAAAGATTTTTTTTTGGTATGAAATCTACGATTTTGACACTGGTTTATGGACAACTCTTGATGTCACCCCACACTGGCGTATAAGGTTTGATAACTATGGCGTTTCTCTCAAGGGAAACACTTATTGGTGTGCTACAGAAAGGAACCCTGCAGACCCTTTTCTCAATGTTGATCACATCATCTGTTTTGACTTTACAAGTGAGAGGTTTGGTCCGCTTCTGCCTTTGCCGTTTAGAACTACGTATTACAACCTTGTGACCCTATCTTGTGTTAGGGAAGAGAAGCTTGCTGCTTTATTTTGCCACGATGGTATTGTTGAGGTATGGATTACGACTAATATTGAGGCCAATAAGGTGTCGTGGAGCAAGTTCTTGACTTTTGATGTGGGTGACTACCGGATTAGTCCTTGTACAGATAGTTTCTTCATTGACGATGTGAACAAAGTCGCCATGATTTTTGATAAAACGTGGAATTGCAACACAGTTACCATCATTGGAGAAGCTGGATACGTCCGAGATGTTGATCTCGGAGAACCTGCCCACCAAAATAGTTTGCTATTGGTGTGTCCTTATGTTCCAAGTTTAGTGCAAATCAAGAAACCTGCACGATGCAAAAGGAAAAGACAAAGCAGTTTAGAAAACCATCAATATAAGCGAAACATGGTGAGACTTGTCGCTCTTAAAAAGTATATGATGCGCCGAAGAACCCATAAAAGGGGATAAAGAGATGACCAAGTCTCGGTTTTACAGAGCTTAGTTTATGTCTTTCTCTCTACTCTTCTTGGTTTTAGTGTTTATTTGTTTAGTATTATGTATATCAATATATATACTCTGGTTTCTTTTTACCTGTTTGGACTCTTTGGCTGTGTTCCACAGATTTGAGATTTGATCACTTTACTCTTTTCATGATATTTCTCACTGGAGCCCTTCTAAGGGACTAATGGTGCTCTTATTGTTCTGCAAAAGTTTTAAATTTTGTTGGCCAAGTCTAAAAGATTTTACAAACGTCTTATGATTCAGTGCATACATATGATGTAATTATTGATAAAATATTAGCAATCTCGTAAATAAACAACTTTGATATTGCTACCGATAGGTCTCGATTGAAAACCAAACATTCTCGAGTATTCAGATAAACTAACTTTGCATAATGCTGGGAATAATCAATGATCATAATGAAGTACTCTTACTTGTTATGAAGTCATTATTGTGTTTTTACAAACGAACCAGAGTTGTTTTGTTTGCAACTTTATCAGATAGTTTTGTTTTGTAAGCCTAATGATCGTCTTATATGGTAAACAAGAAACTAAGAATAAAATGACTTAAACTAAAACGTCTGATTCGATGCATATTAAAATAAATCCCCTTGTAAAAATCCTGTGGGGTTTTACCCATAATAGAAACAAGCAACAAGTTAAGAACAGACATAATTCGTAAATAAGACATCAAAGAGTTCGCTTCTCTAATCCTTCGCATCTGCAATGCCTCCTTGTGTAATCTGGAAACTGTGATTTCTTCTGTTAAGGAAAAAAATAAAGCCATTGCATTTGTGGATGAATAATCAAAATCAAAACAAGTGTGTGTGTGTGTGGATTTGGTTAAAGGATATGGCTTCAGCTTCAGCGAGATTCGGAGCATCGTAGACTTTGCAGACACGTGTATCGCCTTTGCCTTTCCTGAACAAGAGCCTGATGGTGGCTGCGTGGGCTAGGACGTGACCACCTGCTGGCTTTTTTGGGTCTGATATGAACATTCCACCACCTGGGTCAGCTATGACTGCAAACCACCAAATGAAACAGATGATCATTGTTAAGTTAGTGCAACCAATAAACCAAAAGAATTTGATGCTTTATGTCATTATATCAAACTAGTGTAAAGTAAACCTTGGTTAGTCATGTAGACAGCAACATTGAACTCCTCTGCGATTTTGATTAGCCTGGAAAGCATCTGAGCTAGTTTTTGCTGCAACACAGAAACTCGGATTATTGAGCAAAGCCAGATATTGTCAATGATTATGTAAGTAATGTTGTGGGAGGCAAATTTAACCTGGCGGTCTGCAAGTTCTCCTCTTCCAGTGAAATCCACTCGGAATAAAGCAATGATCGAGTCAACAATCTGCAAACAAGGTAAAAAAAAACCTCAGCTAAATTAGCTCATATTCGATGGATAACTAAACTAAAATGATCAGACATGTTTACTTACAAGAATCCTAAATGGTTCCTCAGACATTTTTGCAGCAAGGCCAAGAAGCAAGTTGTACTGATGCTCATAGGTATAAGCACGAGCATAAATGATCTGTTACATCAAGATGAATAAGATTTTTGAATGTCAATGGCAGTCCTGTGAGTAAGTAAAGATGTGAGGTTGATAATGCTTACATTGTCAAGCACAGCTCCTGGATCCATTCCAAATCTTTCAGCAATTGGGACAATCCTATCAGGACGGCTACAAAATTTAAGGGTTAAGGAAAAATCATGGAATATAGAAATCATCTAATGAAGCCACAAGATCTGGTCAGAAGATTTGCTCTAAGATATTAAGGATACAAGGTTCCCTCGGTGTCAATGTAAGCCACTTTTCCATTTCCCCCTTTCATGTTTGTAGGTAGCTGCATAACATAAATACAGAAATGAATACCAATGGCAGTGAGAGACAGAGTACCTCAATGGTTTATATGCTGAAAGAAAGTAAAATCTCATCTCATGCCTTTGAAAGGTAAACAAGACAACATAAAATTCATATTGAGACTGTAGGAAAGAAACCAACCTGCGTAGTGACACAAAGGGTATGTGCTAATTGAGTTTTCCCACACCTGAAGTGAAATTAAACTTTATAAGAATACAAGCTATCAACAGGAAACTTGTAGAGCTGGGTGCAGCTTCTTCTCACCTAAATTCGCCAAAAGCCTCTGTGATGGCTGAGGTTTCAATTCCACCTACCAAGCATTGTGAAATAATTAAACCAGAACTCAAGTAGTGTGATCAAGATGTCAAACTGTTAAAAGCAAAACTTAGTATACCTCCTAAGAGATCATCGAGAGCTTGGCACCCTGTAGTGATTTTTACAACTGATTTCCTCTATAAACAAAAAACAACTTGTAGGTTTCAATATCTACTAATATGAAATGTTGAATAAGCCATCTAAATTTAACAGTTCTGTTAGTGGGATCAAGCAACAGGACTTAGATGCAAGACAGACTTCAAGACCTTATTGAAATCAATGAGTCTAACCTTTAGAAGAGCATCACTTCCAGTCATATATCCAAAGTTCTGAAGGAGAAATGTTTTGACAATTAAAATGAAGCAAATGCAGGAAGTCACATAGATATAACAACAGTTGGAAACGTTTAAACTAACCACAATTTTCTCAGCAGCTTCACAGATTTTGTCAACTTTAGCCTCTGATAAACCTTTGATTCCAGTGAGGTTCTGCGCCAATCAAAAGTTCAAACAATAGACTCATGCAACCATCATCTACATAGTGCATTATAACCAATGAATGAAGCTGGTTTATACCTTCTTGGTATGCATCATGAGACCATTGCAGGTATGGATCCCAGCATCTTGTAACTTTTTCACATCTCCAGCGTTTATACCTTGAGCGACCACTAACACAAGCAAAAATACAAGTCCCGAGATCATCAAATCAGCTAGAGATTTTAGCCAGATACAGAAATCGAACGACTATATACACTCGAATACACTCAAATTTCACAAACTATTCGTTATCAAGGAGAATCCATGTTCAGAAATCAATATGTATACTAGATTCATACTTAAAATTTTAAAACTAACACAGATTTCGCGAACATTCCCCAGATTAGAGGAACGATTCTAGATCTGATTTCATAAGACCCAGCGATTAAGCAGCAACGAGGTTTAGATAAACAAAATTGGGCGAAATTAGAAGATATAATAAACACACAGAGACGATTCCAAAACAGATGATGAAGATTTGAAAACGATAAACTGAAGAATCGTAAAAGCGGAAAACGAATTCAGATCTTACATTTGTCAATCATCTCAAATAGATCTTCGTCTTCATCAATTTCTTCACGCTCGACGAGCTGCATCTGGCTCGTTTCTTCAGCTCTATGAATCCGAACCAACGGAAACATATCAGGATCATCGGAAAACAAAAAGAAGCGAGTCAGATAGCGAGACTTAAGAAGAAGCTAAAACCAAAACGATGAACGGAGAAGAAGAAGAATCGTAGTACAGAGAGAGAGAGATCAATCACTTACTTGAGAGCAGCCATCATTTTCTCGCACTAGGATTCTCTAAATTTGAAACGAGAGAGTGAGAGAGAATTTGAAATTCGAAATTTGAAAAATATTCACTGGATTTTCTTCGAGGGTTCAAGGTTTTTAATGGCGGGTTACGGAATTGAAAGCGTGATTCAAATGCCGTTGATTTGAATTTGGGTTCCGCAACTGAATTTGTTTTCTTTTGTGTGCTCTTGACTTATTTTGACGGCTGCGATAGTGCCACGCCATAGTTATCATCAGTCTTATCGACGGTCAAGAGAAGGAATCTAGGTGAAAATAATTAGCCACTTGCATTGCTTCATAAATTAATTTCTCCTGAAATTACAGAAAAAGAAAAATTAACACAGATGCATATAGGCCCATTGGCCCATTTTTTTATTCAGCCCAAAAGATGTACAAAGGCCCATAGGCTCATTTTACTGAAATTACAGAAAAAGAAAAATAATACAGATGCATATAGGCCCATTTTCCGCTGTGATTAACTGATTCTGCCACGTCATAGTCAAAATCATTTTTATTATTATTTTTTTTTTAACTACCGCGGATCTCTCAAAGGTTTCCTAGGCCCAAAGACTAATCCCACGAGGCTGGCAATTCCCCTATGTAAACCTGCCAGTGGCCGTGTCTCGAACCCTGGTGGCGGAAGTCACAGTTGTGACCCCTTTATCACTAGGCCACAAGACCTGGTTCATAGTCAAAATCATTTCTAAAAACTATACTACATTTCTACCAATGTTTGGGAGATTTTAGGAGGTTTTTAAATTATAGATTTTAGTTTTTAGATTTAGATTTTTGTTTTTGGTTTTAGGATTTTGTAAAAATAAAATAAACAAAAAAATAAAAAATTGAGAAAAAAGATTTCTTAGAGAAAATTCTCAAAAACCCATTGAAATGAGAGTTTGGATTTTGTTAAGAAATTAGTAAAAACTCTTAGAATCTAGATTCCCAATTTTTTAGGAAATCCACTTTTCTCAAAATTTAGGAAATCAACTTGCTGCTAGAGACGCCGTTGAAGCTGTAACATTCACTTCACTGCAATATATATATATTGCTCTAATCCGGTTTAAACCAGCCACTAACACCAACTTTGAGATTTTTAAGATAAGTGTAGTGTGGAGTCCCAATGTCGAATCAATAATAAAAGATAGTGGCGCCTAATTCATGACATTTAGTCATATAGCTACCACATGTAATGTCATTTGACAAAGAGATATGATCATTAGTTGGATAACCTTTAAAAACAAAACCAAAAAACAAGCTAGGATCATAGCTAAATTTTCAAACTTCACTCATATATTACTAAATTTTCAAACTTCACTCATATATTTTCAAACTTCACTCATATAACCGACTATAGTCAGGACTTTATATATTTTGGTTGATCAGAAGAAACCAAACATCAAACTATAAACCGTTTCATTCCCACAAGGCCACAATCATAACGAAATAGGTCAATACGTAGAACCGGATTCTAATAAGTCTAAATTTGTTGTGGTAACATAAAGTATATACTTCCCACCTCATATCTTATAATTTTCAACGAACTTCATGACCTTAAGTAACATGGGCCATTCGGATCGTTCATGACCTTTTACTAACATGACTCCACCATTCTCCTCATTTTTTATGCGCATATGCTTAACTATATTATATATCACATTGATTTTAAAAAAGAATCATCGAAGCTCTGAGCTCTCTAGTGTAAGGGTATATGTGGTTGGCTAGATACAGACAGAATAGTGTCGATTGAAAGAGCACATGGATGCTCAACGAATCTGCCCATATCAAAAGAAGTGGATTACAAAAGAACCTTTTTTATATAACTTTTTTCTAAGATATTAAAACTTTATGTATATGTGATATTTTTATATTACACTATACATTGTCCTCTCACTTCGCATATGCACTTTGATTATCATATTAATATACCATCGTCACCTAATTAATTCCATCAGTTTTTTTTCTTTTAAAGTTGATGTACATAATAATATCCAAACTCTACCGTCGAAATCAAAATTTTGTGTAAGCAATTTCTTAATTATGTACATCACTTTTCACATGGATTGGTATCAGTGCCGGTCCGGTAAAATCTGAGGCCAAATACGAAAAAAAATTGAGGCCTTTTTAAATAATAAAAATTGCTAAAAAAGTTTTTTTACTAATTATGAGATATTTATAATTTTTATTTATAAATATTTTTTAATTTTTAGACATTGTTTGTTAATTTTGAGACTTTTTTACTAATTATGGGATATTTTTGGTTAATTATGTGTTTTTTTTACTAATATTAGAGTTTTTTGGTTAATTTTGAGGCCTATTTAAAAAAAAAAAAAAATCTCCACAAAAAGATCTCAAAAGTTTAAGGCCCCATACAAATGTTTCTCAAAAATGGACACAGGACCGGGCCTGATTGGTGTAACCGGTACATGTAATCAAAGCATGAGAAATGAGGTCCAACCATACCAATGGCTAAACATATGGTTCTCTAGGTTTAGAAGATTATTTTTAATTGGAGTTTATATATTTAGATGCATTTGACATAAGTGTTCAAAGTACACAATCTCTAGATGTACACTTCAAATTTTCAAAATATTCTCGAAGTAATATCATGGAAATAAAAAAGAGAGAAGGGGTTTGCTTTTATGGGTGTGAATCTATAAATGGGATGTTTCCTCCTCAGTAAACACTAATTTCTTTAAATAAAAACAGAAAGGGGACCATTTGCATGTTGCATCTTCTATTACATAGACTCATCCCCACTTGCGAATTCACTACCCCCACCAAACGTTGCCGTTTTAGTAAACTCCATACTCTATGTAATGTACGTACAAGTTACAAAAACTCCAATATGTGTATGTATGTATATTGTATATACATGGTCCTAGCTAGCTAGCTACAACTCCTAGGGTACACATACCGGAGCCATCATCATCAATTTATCATCGACATCGATTTATCATTATGATCATCATCTCTCTCTCCTTCAATATATGTAGCAGTGGCAGTAATGTGGGTGATACGTTTGTATAAAGCTGGAAAGCAACATTTGGATCCACTCTCTGTTGGCTTAGGCATGCTTCTTTTAACTCTTCTCATGTATTACTCTCTGCATATTTTAACATTATAACAACTCGCAATTCGCACCATATTTATCACATTTATCACATACATATGAACCAAAGAAATGTTTACTTGGTAGTCCGTTAAATAAAAAAAGTACGGCAATTGATATTTTAATGAAAACATAAAAATATCATCAGAAAGCTCAAGAGTATATTAAAAATAAAATCTTTTATCAAGTATTTGTTTGTGATAACATGCTACTGTAATCCGTAACAATATTTCTATATTTATTTGTTCCACATAAATTAGGTTTATAAAATTGCCAAACAAAAAAAAACTTGTAATTAATTAATTATGCTACAAAAAGGTGGTAGCAATTATTGTTTTAATATATTTAATGCAATAGTAAACTATGTATTGATTTTACTATTGTCTACAAAAAAATTGTAAGAAACCCTTTTAAATAATTTTCCAGTACACTAAAATTTTCATGATATTAGAACAAGAGAACTTTCTTTTAAAACCACCACAAAATTATTGAAAATTACAACTGTAGTAGATTCGTAGTAGTTTTGTTGAATTTTATTATAATATTGTTGGCAAACGAAAATACCAATTAGGTGCGTCTGATTAACGTTGGTTGGAATTTATAGATATGATCACTTTTACTTGACTATGGATGTAAAGTTAGTGATATCATCACAATCAACCAACTCTTCATTAAGCATCTAACATTGCTTTTTACGAAATAAAAAAGCATATATATAAATTATAGTACCATTGTATTCGATAGATGATCCAAAACAAAAAGATAAGTTCGAGCATCACATATGTCTGATCAAGTACTTCTCAATTTGCATACGTATACATCAAACTGTTGCATCAGCCTCCTCGTGAGTCATACCGAAACATGTATGACAAATTTGTATGCCTATTCTTCGCAACTCGTGTATCTAACTATATATATATATATATATATATATATATATATATATAGTTATATACTATCTTTTAATCAAATAGATAATTGAAACATGAGTTAACTCGTAGCTGATTTTGCCTCATATATATATATATATATATATAAATATATATATATATAAAAGTTTGTTAACAAAAAAAAAGAAAGAAAGAATTAAGGATTTAACGTACAAATATATGCTTTAGTACATGAATAATATGGCTTCAAATTAAACTTTTTTATGAAAGTTTCGGACAGAAATATAGCATAAGTTCTAGTTTACTAGTACTACGATGAAATTCTTCAAACTTTATATTTTCGATCACTATTAGGAAACGGATGAAGTATGATTAAACGACCATTATAAAATTATTCTTTTACGCAAATCGTTATTTGGGGCTTTCCCTAGTTACAAAGCGATTTACAACAGCAGATTATGTTTCTTTATTAGAACAGATCAAGAAACGCATTGAATCTTGGACAGCACGATATCTCTCTTTCGCGGGTCGTTTGAATTTGATATCTTCTGTTTTATGGAGTATTTGTAATTTTTGGTTGGTCGCATTTCGTCTACCACGAGAAAGCATTGACGGAGTTGAGAAACTATGTTCTGCATTTTATGGTCAGGAGCTGAACTAAATACACACAAAGCTAAAATCTCTTAGAAAAAAGTGTGTAAGCCAAAGCATGAAGGAAGACTTGGTTTGAGATCACGTAAGGAAGCAAATAATGTATGCTGCTTGAAACTGATATGGAGGATAGTTTCACATGGAAACTCTTTATGGGTCTCTTGGGTTAAAGAAAATTTTCTCAAAAAATCATCTTTCTAATCACTAAAAAGTTCTACGAGTATGGGGTCTTGGATATGGAAAAAATTAACCAAATACAGGGAAGTGGCAAAGAATTTTTGCAAAGTAGAAGTGGGGAATGGCGAGCTCACACCGTTATGGTATGATCACTGGTCAAGCTTGGGTCGGTTATATGACACTGCGGGTGCTAGGGGAATTATTGATTTGGGGATTAGTAGAACAAGCACATTGGCGCAAGTTTGGGCTAACCATCGGAGAAAACGGCATCGTTCTGGTTTT